TTTACTGCTGAAATGATATAATCTCCTCTAAAAATGTGTAGTTTTATCATCAAAATAATTAAAAGAAAATACTTTTTTTCTTCTTTTTTTGTTCTCTAAACAACTAAAAATATATCACAAATTCGATTTTCGTACATGTGAGAGAGAGAGAGAACACACACTTCATATATACACATACACGATGTTCACCCTACGACTTCATCACCTTTTTACCTCAAGAGCATTATTTTTTGTTTCGTCTTATTTTTTTCTCCCCAACTATTTACTATTACACCATTGATGTTTTAAAAATATGCTTTGTGTGTTTGTGTCAGTCAACTACCACCACTTTTCAGATGCACCAAAAAACCGTCCATAGGGACAGGAGCCATAGGGACAGGAGCCATTTTCTTTGCCTTGTTTATATGCTTCAAAATCCAGTTTTCTTAAAACGACTTTCATTCGTTCCATACTCTAATAAATTTCATCCGAAAGTGTCCTTTCCATCCATATTATTTGTTCTCTTTATCTATTATATAATCATCTATTATCCCCTTATCCATTTTCTAAAATATATTTTTTATTTAAAATTTTCTTAACTCGTGGTTCTCTTATGGGTGGGTGTAAACTAGTGTCAATTTCCCTTTATTTCTTTCCATTTTTGGTAGGCATACCTTTTTTGGTACCTTGTTATCCATGATAATTTTTTAAACAATTTTTATATCATCCAAAAGCTCTTGGTGTGCAGATTATGGAGATTGAATAGCGTGCAGCCCTGATAGGGGACCCTATTCCACCAGTGAATACTTCTGTCCTATGGCTCCTGTCCCTATGGACGGTTTTTTGGTGCATCTGAAAAGTGGTGGTAGTTGACTGACACAAACACACAAAGCATATTTTTAAAACATCAATGGTGTAATAGTAAATAGTTGGGGAGAAAAAAATAAGACGAAACAAAAAATAATGCTCTTGAGGTAAAAAGGTGATGAAGTCGTAGGGTGAACATCGTGTATGTGTATATATGAAGTGTGTGTTCTCTCTCTCTCTCACATGTACGAAAATCGAATTTGTGATATATTTTTAGTTGTTTAGAGAACAAAAAAAGAAGAAAAAAAGTATTTTCTTTTAATTATTTTGATGATAAAACTACACATTTTTAGAGGAGATTATATCATTTCAGCAGTAAATTTTCGAAGAGTTTCGAGCCTAGAATTTTTTGGGAATTTTTCAAGAAAATTTTCCAGCACATTTTCCAAAATTAGCTTTTAAGGTGTTTAAATTAGGGTGTGTTCACGATCGGTTAACTAACGCTTGTGACGGCTCAAATAGAGAAGAATAAGCTCATTTGAACTGCCACAGGCAAAAATTAACCGGTCGTGAACGTACCAGTTTAAAATATTTAATTCTTCACAATTGATATTTGGGGATTTGGGCGGAAGAGACGATGTTTTAAAACTGATGCTGACTACTGAAAACTGATCGCTTTTTATACTCGAGAACTCAATGTACTTTGATCGCCCATTAACCCTTCCCTCACATTTTTTTATCCATTAACTGTAAACCATACCACTTATCTCTATTAATTGATTTTAACATCCATTAGTCACATGATTAAAATCCATTAGTCACATGCTTAAAATCCATTAGTCACATTCTTTCGATCCACTTAGTGCACTTAATTAATTTTTGTCTCCATTAGATCATGCGCATGGATCCATTAGTGCCCATTAGTGGATCCATTAGTGCCCCCCTTTTTTTATCCATTAGTAGCTTTTTTCGAATGTTCCTCGAAGCCCTGGTGGTATTTAAGCAAATATTTTTCTGATCTTTTTTCATTTATTTTTTATTTTATTATAATTTATTTCTTATAATTTATTTATTTATTTATAATTTATTTATTATTATTTATTATTTTATTTTTTAAATTTTATTTTTTATTTTTTTATTTTATTTTTTATATTTTTTATTTTGTTTTTTAAATTTTATTTTTTTATTTTTTATTTTATTTTTTATTTTATTTTTTAAATTTTATTTTTTTATTTTATTTTTTATTTTATTTTTTATTTTATTTTTTAAATTTTATTTTTTTATTTTATTTTTTATATTTTTTATTTTATTTTTTTATTTTTTATTTTATTTTTTTATTTTTTATTTTTTTATTTTATTTTTTTTAATTTTTTTGTTTTTTACATTTTATTTTTTATTTTATTTTTTATTTTTTTTTTATATTTTTTTGTTTTTTACATTTTATTTTTTTACTTTTTTCACTATTTATTATTCTTACATTTAATTTTTATAATTTTTATTTTTATACGCGCTTTATTGTTTTTATTTTCCTATTCCTTTATAATGTTTTATTTCTGATTAGTTATCGTTATTCGACATATCTTCACACCTGATTATTGCTTTTTTTCTTCGCTAGATGAAAACATTTAGAATACCTGCAGACTTTTCCTGCATTTTTTCAAAATTATTTATCGTTATTCGACCTTTATTTTTTAGAAAATTATTTATCGTTATTCGACCCTATAGGTTAAAAATTTTTTATTGTTGCTTTTTCTTCACCAAGCGAAAGCATTTCGAACCTCTCGACTTATTCGACTGGTTTTTATTTTTAGAAAATTATTTATCGTTATTCGACCCTATAGCTTTTACATAGAATTTTTCTTTTTTAAAATTTTTCCTCTCCTTTTTAAATTTTTGTAATAAAACTGAGTTTTTGGTCTGTTATAAATGTTATATTACCCTAGTATATACTACTACTACCCCTATGGTTTTTCGTTTTTTTTGGGGACCTAGTATATCTCGGTGCATCTCTGGAAAAAAAGAGTGGTACCGTTCGACACAGCTCGTCGAGATGAATCGAATGGTATGGGGTTTGTACCGAAACTAAAACTCAGGTATACTAAACTACAGCGAAGTGTCCATTCCTTTTTGAGTTATAGGGCCTAGACTCAGTTGAATTGCCTCGTAAAAATAAATTTTAAATTTTTAGTATATATCAACAGCTAAGGACGTTTCAAAAATGGTTCCTATTATTTTTCTTGATTTTTCCACCTACTCAAGATTTGGATTAAACGAGAAAGCTGAAAATGTTGAAATTACAAAATTAAATGACAACGAATTTACTACATTTTATCAAATTGGCAATAGTTACAATCCAAATTTTGTTCGATATTTACTTTGGAACTATGAGAGTGTCGGTGATTCTGGGACTATTTACTCTAAACTTTGTAATTACGGGACTAATAATGTTAAAGTCTTAATAATGAAGTGTGTGATTACGAGAAGAATAAAAATATATGTAAAATTTATGAGATTTATTGGAGGATTAAATTATAATTTAAAAAAATATTTCAAATTTCTTTAACGGGACATGTCCAAAAGGGCGCGCGACATAAAGGCGCAAAGTCATAACTTGCTGGAAAATTTCTGGCCCTTATCAATTTTGGTTCGAATCTGTTTGGCTCGTTGAGAGGAATTGTTTAACACTAAATTTGATAAGCTTCGGAAAACTTGAAGCAAGTTAGGGCTTTGCGCCGTTATGGCCGCGCGCCCAGCTGTACCCATTTTTTCATTGACTTTTTCAATTAAATTATTTTTTGTTGATAATTTATTTTTCTCATTCATTTATTTTGGTTGATTAAAGAATGTTAGTTCATTTTTAAAATAGGCATTCTGCCCAATAAATGACATTCCCAAATGTCTGTTTTAGTCTGTTGTCATCAGAGAAATATTTTAAAATTTTTTTTGTTTTTCATTCACTTTTTCAATTATTTTTTGTTTTACACTATTTTCATCTATTTTTTAGCTGTTCAGAGACAGTTTATTTTTACGAATTTAAATAGTTTAAAAGACTTTAACGATTTTTTAGAAATTTTCTAGTGCTTATATTTAAATTGTCTTCAAAAAATGTTTTATTCTTTGCCTTCAGAAACGAAGCTTGACGTTTTTAAATGTCTCAATTATCAACAATTATTGACATTCAAACTGACAAATGTTTATTTTCGTGACTTTGTTAATAAATATGAGGGGGAACTTGCTAAGGAGAAAATCCATATGATTTCTCTTGTAATTGCTTTTTAATTAATTTTGATGAAAAATTTTTTTCCTTTAAGGGTGATATTGGTGGATTCAATAAAATTCCTCGTAAATCGATTAAACGTGAAGGTAAAAAATTTGACTTTCCATTGCCTGAAGAACTTGAAGAGAAGGTTTTTTAATGTTTTTAAACATCAAACTTTCCCTTCTTTTTAGTTCAAGAATGGATTTAAAAAGCCTATTCCTTTGGTTTTATCTTGTCGTGGTGCTGAAGATGAAGGGATTCCCCTTATCTTGAAGAAAGGTCAATTTTTATTTAAAAATTGATTGAAAGTTAAAAGTTTTTAGTTTTTACTGAACGACTGTTTGCCTCTACTTTTCACAATATTTTTCCCGGAATCGACCCATCTGATCATCTTCCACAAGGTTAATATTCTTGAAGGTTAAGACTAGTGCGGGAATGACCTGAGGTAAACTCTAAATATTTGGGCAGACAACGAGGCTGGGCTAATTTCGCGTTCCGCTTTTTATTTTTAGATTTCGCCCAACCCTGTTCCGTATGCTATACTACCCCAATTTTTTATTAAGTATGCGAAAGCGTTTTGAAATTTTTTTTATTTAGCTAAAAAATTTTCAGTTGAAAAAACAGAAAGATATACACTTCACCTGCCACCAATGATCAAAAGCAAAGAGGATATCGAGATTGTTTACTATTATTTAAACAAGTTGTTTAAGTGCTCATTCAAATTCTCCTACTTTGAAGACTATATAATCAATCCAGAATTGATTAGATTATTATTTGTGGAAGCTAAACAATTTTACGTTCAAAATTGCAATATTTCTACTCAAGACTACAATGTTGGAATTTTATTGCAATTTGTTTTGAATAACTTGGCTAGTGAAAATCATCAACTTATTTTTCATCCATTGGGTGACGACACTATGAAGAAATATAAGGACGATTTGTATAAAATTTTATTATATGGAGGAGACAAATTTGGGAAAATTTATGTGATGTTCCATTCTTCTCCAAAATTTTACAAAAAATTTTATAAGCATATTGTTGAAGTAAGTTACCTGATATGTGTTAGAAATAAGTGCACAACACAGCTGAGTCCCGGACACCATAACTTATGAAGGGGTGGGCACTTCTTTATGTTCTTGGTAATAATGGATAGAGCATTAAATACGCTACAATATACCCAAAAAACTAAAATTCTTGAAAGACTGTTAAAAAAGTTATGATCGATAAAGTGCCGAAAAATTAAATTTTTTTTGAAAAATGTTAGTTTTTAGATTATAACTTTTTACGCAATCAATCGAGAATTTCGATTTTTTGTTTTTCAGATAGTCCATTTAATTATCTATCCATTGATACCAAGAACATTAAAAATTATCCACCCCTTCTTAAGTTATAGGACCGAGACTCATTGCCAGTTGAACTACTCGCTAAAATTAAATTTTAAATCTGTAGCTTGTGGCAACATCTAAGAAAATTTCAAAAATGGTACCTCATATTATTCTTCATTTTTCTCATTGTCCAAATCTTAAATTACCCGAGAAGGCAAAAAATGTTGAAATTAAGAAATCAAATGATGAGAAATCTACAACTTTTAAAATTGTCAACATTTACGATCCGACGGTTAAATTCTCATTTTGTAACGAAGAGGGTTATTACGTTCAAATCACAATTATGAAGGAATAAAATTTGAGATGAGGAAAATAAAGTTTTAAGATTTATTGGAGAAATAAATATTTTTTTTAAATATGTATTCCAAATTTTCTTTCATTGACTTTCCCAGTTAAATTATTTTCGGATAATTTATTTAAATTAATTTTTTGGTTGAATAAAAAAGCCTGCCAATTTATTTTAAAATATTTTTACAAAAAGTAGTTGGATTATGACAACTTTCAAGTTAAATTGGGCTCCGGTCTCACTTGTAATCCGTGTTATGGGCTCATAATGTTTCAAGGTCTTCAAAATTTATCGCACATGGACCTAAAAATTCAGAACTACATGTCTTTAAAATCATAAAATTATGAAATTATTTTGCATATTTCGCAAGTACGAGGCCAAAAATAGGGCTTGTACGGGTACGAGAAAAAAATTGGCAAATACGTGTAGGCATGTACTAAAGTACGAGTGGGCAGTGGCAGACTAACTCAGACAAATTTCTGCGTTCTTTTTACACACGAGAGAGTGGTCAACAACACAGGCCTCTGAAGAGAGACATAATTTTGTTAGACAGAAAATTCCCTCAACAAAGCACCTCAACAAAACATACAAAGTCATCTCTCCCTCATTAAAGTTGTTTTTGGCTTTGAGGAAATATATTCAAAAAATTCCCTGAAACATTGAGAATGTTCTCCTTCCTTCCTTCTCCTCCTCCACATTTTTTCTTAAATAAATAGCAGCAAAAATACACCATGTTAACTCATTATTTTTCATTTTTCTATTTTTTATTTTTAGTTTATTTCTCTTAAATTTGAAAAATATAAAATTTGAACTAATGACTCCGATTGATTCGAAACTAGACGACAAAGCGAAATCTCAACAAAACGATCAAATGGGGAAAATGAATAATATTGGTACTAATTTTTGGGCAATGCCAAATTGTCGGGCTCGATAGCCGGGTTTTTTTTATTTCCGAACTGACCCAGCCGGGTTTTCCACCTTAAAAGCCCGAAATTCCTTGACTTCATCAAAATACCCGCTATGCTTGATGTAACAATTTTTCGCCCATTTCCGGGTTTCTTGAATCTACGAACTTGAGGGTTTTCTGTTTTAAATAAGAAACTTTACAAAAATTATAATTTTATTTTTTGGATATTATTAATTAGCCCCTATAAACTTAGGTCAAACTCAAAGTGTTCCTTCATTCACCCCACAACAACAATTTTATCAACAACCATTCATGCACTGTCCACAACCATTCCAACAACAAATGCTAGTCCCAACTATATCCAATCCTATGTTCAATCCTAATATTACAACAATTCAACCAAAAGCTGAGAATTGTGGGTGGACTGTGGGAAATATTGTTTTTCAAGTAAATTTAAGGAAAAATGGAAATATTATTTTAATTTTTAGAGTGGAATTGGCATCACTGAACTTCATGTTCATTTAAGGAAGAACTTTACAATTGGAAAAGTAAATATTTAGTAATAAACCTCTCGAAATATTTAATTTTTTGGCACTTACCTCTATGTCTTCCCCCTACACCTCCCCCTCCCCTTGTAGCAAAAAATAGCATTTAAAGGGAAAGATAAAACGCAAAACGCGTTTTGTGTAACACTGCATACAGAGTATATATGGACCGTGACCGGACAATCCGTCAGTGGACAATCCGTCAGTGGACCACTGACGGATTGTCCACTGCCGGATTGTCCACTGCCGGATTGTCCACTGACGGATTGTCCGGGAGCCATATGGACTTGGCAATCGACTCCTTCGAGACACAAACCGTAATGGCGCGAGATTTTGCACTAGTATCTCGCCGATTCCTATAGGTTTACTCTCCCTGTATGTAGCAATATTTACTTGCCCCTCCTCACCCTTATAAGCACCAACTTTTTCTTGGCTCTCCTGATTTTTTATATCAGGATTTGGTTGTATTTCTACATATAAAAATTAATTTTGATTAATTTAGGAAGAAAAGGGTAAAGCTAAAGCAACATTAGAAGCGTTTAAATTTATTGAAGAATTACTAGTTGACAATTCTTCAAAGAAAGATGATAAAGAGGGAGTTCAGACTCTAAAAAATGAGACTCAGCATTTGAAGGAGGCCTACCAAACGAAGGTAATTAAGCAATGGTTGGACTTGTTTGACTAACTGAAATCCATGAAAAATATATGAGCTCCTGTCTGTATGACTGATTATAAAATCAGCTGGAAAATAAGGGAAAACTACTTCAGTCAGCTAGCAGAAGAACGCTTGCTCCGCTTGATTTTGTCTTTCTTTTATGCATATGTGCAGCAGCATCAGGGTTGCGTCATAATTACGATTACGAAAAAAAATTTTTTGATTACGACGCAACTCTGAGCAGCATAAACTCGCATTATGTCTAACAAGAATCCGGAGATTTCCGGATAAGCGCAACGACTTTTGGAGAAAAAGACTGCGCATTTTACAACATCCTTCTCTGCTGTGCTCTTTATATGACCGCCGGATTTTTCGGATTTTTTAGACACGATGCGAGAGGGTGTATGTTACTGCACATTAGTATAAGAAAGACAACATCCGGAACAGGCATTTCTTCGCCGGCTATTATGGTTAGGCAAATGAAGGCATAAGGGAAGATAATCATTTCAACTTACTTCTATCTGTTTTTGATCGGTCCCGATCAAACGAACGACCGACGTCATTAACCCCTCATTCTTAACCACCTCGTTCTCCTAATTCGTAAATTGGTCTGGGCCTCTATTTGACTCTCAATTCAAATATTTTTTAAAAATATTTTTATTAAATTGACAGAATACTACGACTATACGAGAATTGAAAATTAGACACAAAAATGAGATTGAAGCTTTAAAAAAAGAAGTAGAAAAAGAGAGGACTGAACGTTTATATTGGGAAAATAAATATGAATTGTTGCTTCAAGAAACTAATAAAATACTTATAAATAAAACTGAAAGTGAAAAAATTAGCGAAGTAATTTTAATTTAAATTAGAGATCGGACTTACTGTACTACGGCCCAGGTCAATCGGCCCAGGTCAATAAATCAAACTCGGAACTCAGGAACAGGTCCAAGCTTTTCAAAATTTCCGATCTCTAGCGAAAGTTTAGAAAAAGATTAGCCACCGGGCGCATCCTAACCTGCGACCTTCATGAAGTTTGCTGGCGCTTTCACAAACCGCTTATAAGAGCGCTCTACCACTGACCTACCGGGGCATCAAATAATGCTTTTTCTTTACCCTTTTTAGATTGTTTAACCCCGTCTTAAATACTACTAGGTTTTAAATAATTAAAAAAGAGAAGATGCCGAAAAAAAACTGGGAAAAAGTGTCAGGTAAATCAAAAAGGGTCAGGCATCCTTATTTTTAGGTAGTACGACATTACAGTATTTTTTCGGTAGTGCGGTTCAAAATTTTTAATTTAAGTCCCAGTTCCTTATACCGGGATTTGGTTTATTTCTATAGTTCCTTAAAATTTAATTTTATTTTTTAGGAAGAAAAGCGTGGAATAGAAGCAATTAAAGCTATTGAGAAAGATCTTTGTCAATATGAAAAGGAGCATAATATTAAGTTGGTAGAAAAAAAAATAAATAAAAATTTTCAAATAAATGGGTAATTTTGAACTCTTTAACTCTTCTTGGTGAGCCTTCTATTCCAGCAAATTTTTATTGCAATAAGTTGAACTATAGCAAATTGATGTAATAGTACACCTCCCAGCGTTGGCATAGGTCCTTTATGTCCTTTTCTTTATGCACGATACCTGGCCATATATCAAAATAAGAAGATCGGGGTACTTATCCAGGGGTGGCGCAAGTGCCACAAAATACGAGAACGAGATAAAACGAAATAGGAGATCTCTCAAAAAATACGAGATTTCACGAGATACGAGACGAGAGCCACCCCTGGTACTTATGTATAACCATAGATTTGGAGAGGCTAAACAAGGGGTAGTACAAAGTTCAGGGCACTCCTGCCGTCTAAAGGGCCGCAGTTCTCTGGCAATTATTTTCGGCACCAAACTTCAATTGACCCATGTCATACATATATTTGTGAAAAATAATCGTTTGTCTGGAGTAAAGAAGGATAATTCATGAAAAAAAGAATAAATAATTAAAGCTCATAATGGTCAGAGAACTGTGGCCCCCTTAAACGGTAGGAATGCCAAGTTCAGAATTACCAATAAAATATTTTTAAGGGCAAATGAAAGTAGCAATTCGGAAATTAGTGAATTTGACTTTCTTCAAGATGATAAAAATGAAAAGGAAGAGAATGATGTTAAAGAAGTTGAAGATGAGTAAATTAAGGGGAAAAATTTGAAAATGAATAAAAATGTGGGGGATTTTAATTTTAAAATTTACTTAAAAATGTTGACTTTTATTTTTAGTTATTTTTTGGAAAAATATAAAAATTATTTGTTTAAATTTTTATTATATGGAGGAGACAAGTTTGGAGGTACTTATTGGTTATCCGGATTTTTGATTTTTTTGCGGACACATTTATATTAGGAATGATGAAAGGTTCTTCCTTCGTCGATTTCACTCAATTTTCCCTGTGGCATCATTCAACAAGAGCATGAATAAAGAAAAGATTAATTTTTTGCAATGTCACCAAATACATATAAACTAACAATAAGATCAATATTTTCATTTTTATATACTATTTTAGTAATTTAAAATCTTTTTTAATGGTGATAGGTAGGGTTGTCGGTTTTACGAAATTTTCGGCTAACCGAACCGAAAATCTTTTTTTTTCGGTTCGGAAGATTTTCGGTTCGGTTAGCCGAAAAAAAACCGAACCGAAAATCTTCGGTTCGGTTTGAAACCAACAACCCTAGTGATAGGTATCGAGTAGGGGTGTGCGAGTTTCGTGTTTCGCCTTTCGCGGATTTTCGCGTTTTTTGTACTTTCGCGTTTCACTTTTTAAATTTAATTTCGCGTTTCGTTTTTTAAAATCCGTTTCAGCACGTCCCTGGTACAGAGCTCTGCGTGTTTTTAGTGACCCGGTATTGTGATCTTTTGGGTTAACTCTGTTCTCAAAATATACACACAAATTTCTGCGTCTTTTACACACGAGAGAGTGGTCAATACCATAGGCCTCTGAAGAGAGACATAATTTTGTTAGACAGAAGATAGCCTTATTCTAAGCAAATTTCCCTAGCAAAATCTAAATAGAACGGCAAGTCGTCTCCCCATTTTTTGTAATTTGGCTTTGAGGAAATATATTCAAAAAATTCCCTGAAACGTTGAGAATGTTTTCCTCCCCCCTATTCCCCCACATTTTTTCTTAAATAGCAGCAAAAATAGACCATTTTAACTCATTATTTTTCAATTTATAGATTTTCATTTATAGTTTATTTTTCTTAAATTTGATTAAAAATATACAATTTAAACTAATGACACCGATTAATTCGAATCTAAACGACAAAACAAAATCTCAACAAAACGATCAAATGGGGAAAATGAATAATATTGGTACTTATTTTTTGAACATTGCCAAACCCGGGGTTTTTTATTCAGAACTAGCCCGGGCCGTGTTTTCATGGTTAAAGCTCCGAAAACCATGGTTTTGTCAAAATATTCGATTTCGGGCACAGTCCTGTGCCCGGTCGGAGTGGCAATCTTTCGCCCATCTCCTGGGTTTTTGTATTGACAAGCTTGGTCTGAATCAAAGGTGGGTTGGAACAGTCAGAGGTTTCGGAAATCGGATGAGCCGGAAATTGGAACTGGCTCAAAAATCGGAAATCAAAATTTTTTTTCGGAAATCGGAAGGAAAAAACGTCGGAAATCGGAATTTCGACCCACCTCTGGTTTGAATGAAATTTTTCAAATTTACCCCCATAAATTTAGGGCAAACTTTTCCTTCATTCACACTACAACACCCATTAATGCCTTCACTATCCTACCAACAACAACAACAATATCAAATGCTCCCGAATTACACCAACCCAATGTTGAATCCTTCTAATTCAATAAATCAACCTCAAATGCTCCCGACAATGGTGAATCCTAATAATTCAACAATTCAACCTCAAATGTTCCCGACTTTCCCCAATCCTAACAGTACAACAACTCGACCAAAACTTGAGAATTGTGGTTGGGTGGTTGGAAATATTTCTTTTCAAGTAAATTTAAGAAAAGATGGAAATATTATTCTTTAAATTTAGAGCGGAAATATCAATTCCGAACTTCACGTTAATTTAAGGAAGAACATTACAACTGGAAAAGTAAATAAATTATTGACTAAAACCACCTTAGATACATTCAAATTTATTGAAGAATTATTAGTTGATGATCCTTCAAAGAAAGTTGTTCAAGATGGAGGTCAAATAAAGGTAAATTAAAATCAGTGTTTGGACTAGGATAGCAACCAGATCCCGACGGATTTTTTAAGCAAAAACCCCGACCCGAACCACGATCCCGTCATACTTGCCCCCGAAGGGTCTGGTTGCTACCCTAGTTTGGACTATCAAATTGTCCACTAAAATTTCAGTACTAGTGTAGTTTCCCCCCATAGGCTCCGCCCTTTTTTTACGCTTATGGGAGGGAAACTACACAAGTACTAAAAATATCTGAATATTTTCAATTAACAGAAGGAAATACAAGAAGAATCGGAAACTAAACACAAAAAGGAGATAGAAGATTTAAAAAAAGAATGTGAAAAAATGAAGGTTAGGTGTTCAAATACGGAATACAAATACCAAATGTTGCTTCGACAAATTAATAAAATGAAGAAAAATGAAAATGGAAAAATTACACAAGTAATTTTAATTTTAAATTAGAGCCCGGACGGTATCATACTAACTAGTATTTTATGCTTTACTAAAGTGGCCCGGCGCAAAGGATATCCGGATATTATCTGTCTCCGTGTGGTCTGGAAAAAATTAACCCAATTTTCGCTTATATAAGTAAAGGAACTCTCTCTTTTTCATCCACATTAGGGGAATACTGGAGGATTAAGGCGGATATAAAGGAATTTAGAGGTAGATAGGTGATTTGAAGGGATATCAGGGATTCTGAGTGATAAAGAGGGCTGAAGAGATATTACGTGATGAATATGGATAGTACATTTGGAGTAAATAAGGTAAATTGAATAGATATTGGAGGGTTGGGGCGGATCTCAAAATTGTCAAAACTAAAGGACAGGAAGCAATCTGGGCCCGAGCAAAATCACTACAAGCTCCTTCGAATTAATATCCGAGTTTTTACCCCAAAAATGTTCCCTCTATATTATTTCGATATTTGGGGATTCCGTGAAGATTTCGATTAAATCGTGATTTGGTTGTAATTCTACTTAATTAAAAACTAATTTAATTTTTTAGAAGGAAAAGAGTAAAGCTAAGACCATATTGGATGTTGTTGAAGACGAGGATCCGGAAATTATTAATGATTTTGACTTTCTTCAAGATGATAAAAATGAAGAGGAGAATGATATTCAACAAGTTGAAGATGAGTAAAATAAGGGGAAGAAAGTTTGAAAATTGAAAGGATAAAAAATTGGGGGTTTTTTAATTTTTTGTAACGTTAAAAGTTGAATGTATTTGAGTTATTTTTTAATTTTCTAACTTGATTTTATAAATTTATAAAAAAAAATTTTTTGATTATTTTTGTCTCTCTATACTACATAGAAACGGGGGCAGACCAATGTACCGCAGATCTACAACTTTGTTCAAAGAGGTCGGATACCGGACGGATTGGTATGGTTCGATGCGTCTTGACGAGCTGAATCGAACCATACTAGGGCGTCCCGGATCCGACCACTTTGAAAGAAGTCCAAATCTTCATGGCCCGAAACCCGCAAATACCAAATTCGCTCCGTAATAATTGAAAAAGAATTCCAAAAATTTTATACAATTTTTATACAAATGATGACTTAAAAATATTTAAAAATACATCCAAAATTTATATTTTTTCCTTTAAGAACTAAAGATAGGTAATTGAAACGAATTTTTTGTTAGTTGCTTGTCATGAAAGCGCAAAAAATACAATTTAAGGGTAGATAATTTTAGAACTGTCCAAGACCTAAAAATTTTCAATAACTCAAGACAAACTGAAGACCCTCAAGAATGTGGTGTTAAGTCAATATTAGGGTTGTCGATTAGGGTTGCCGGATCAGAATCCGAAAAAGGCCAGATATGCGGGAAATTTAGTTTCGGGAAATTTCGTTTCGGATATAAAATCCGGATATACAAGGAGTTCCAACTATATACAACAACCCTGTTGTCGGACAAGAACCGAAAATTTCACTTGATTAACCGAAGAACTTGGTAGAACCGAAAACCCTATTCAATGCCAAGAGTCTTGAATAGCTCTAGTACTTTAGAAAAAAATTTTTTTTTATTTTACAAATAAAAAATTGAATTTAAAAAAATTATTTTTCATATTATTAATTATTGAAAATACATGTTTATTGAATAAACCAAAAAAATTTTTTTTTATTTTAAAAAATAAAAGAAAGGAGAAAGAAACATTTTTCGGTCACAAAATTGTATAGACAAAAAAAAGAGGAAAATTGACAAATTTGTTCAAATATTTTTGAAAAAATTATTTTTTTGTCAAAAAAAGAATTTCAATCACCCAAAATTTATTAAATTTTTTTATAAATTCTTTTTTGTCTCCTTCAAACGTTGTGGCGTTTTTGGTAAATGTGTAAAAGGAGCTTTTATTACGTCAATTCCTTCTTCTTGATGAACTTCAGTTTTTTCGTCTAAAAGATAAATTTTTTTAATAATTACAACTTTCTATACAAATTGTAAAACCTCTTCAAACGTCAACTTGTTAGTTAAAAGTGGAGACCAAGAATTTTATACTTTACCGTAATCCACAATGTCCTATTGATCACCTACTGTCCCTATTATCCACAGGAACTTATTTACTTTACCCCATTTTATTTGCGAGCTCAAAATGGTCAAAGTAAACGCATGGGAATCGGTGAAAATACATGGGTTGATTGGCGAATAAATGGTTCAATAATAGGGTTGTTTTGTGATTATATGGGGTGTGTACGTGAAGTAAATAAGTTTCAATCCACCCAAATCCTTTGATACACGACTTAATCCTTAAATCTCCTGATCTTCCCAAATTCCCTGATATCCACCCTCCCAAACCCTCCAAATATCCCTCTTAATCCTGCCAAAAATCCCATGTAAAACTTTACAAGGCAAACTTATATTCAAAAGTTTACAAACTTCCCCCCAAGTTTATTTTATTAAAAGATCAAGTATGTATATATTTACTATTGCCACAGGTATCCAAACAACCTTCTCCTTCACCAAATAAAAGGCGATTAGCATCAGTAAAAACTGCAGAAGCAGAATATGTCAGCGCCTGTTCACGTATAAAACGGGCGCGGTTAAGGCATTTTTCTAAAGGTGAGGTACCATCTTTGCCGTGGGATTCTATGAAGGGGAAAAAATTTTTTTTTCAAATTCTTTGAAAATCCTCTTACCAATAATTGCAGCATTAAGTGCTTTAGCTACAATATCACGTTGAGTTTGTTCAAGTAAATAAAAATTGGTTGAATGACTAGGATCACGGTAACATAAAAGTGAGAAAGCAGCCTTTAAATTTTAAGAAAATTTTGAAGAGAAAAAAATTTTAAACTAGATATCGGAATTTCATACTGTACCGTATCTCGTACCGTAATACCGAAGAATACAGATGAATATTGAGGACTCTAAAAATTCTACAATACCGTTCCCTTACCGTATTTCAAGAAATACTGATGAAAATCAAAATTTTAGAGTACCGGATCCCCCTACGGTACCAGCGAAAAAGAATACCGAACATATTCGATAACGTAATCCGATACAAAAGGTCTTCAGGATTCTTACCGTACAGTACCAAAAATACTGATAAATACAAGGAGCTTCAAAATTCTACGTTAATTGCCCAATGCCGTAATACCAATCGGAAAACATAAAGACACCGTTGGTAGAAGGGATATCACAGGTTGAGAAAAAGTCGGGTTTCTAGACAGATTTCGGATTGGGTTCGGCTTGAAAAATTTTCTCTGATCGGGTTTCGGATCGGAGAAAAGTCCAGGTTTCTGGCAACCCGTGACATCCCTGATCGGTCATCCTTCGATCACAAAATTAAAACAAACATTCATTCTGTGCCTAAGTGCTGCACAACTTTGAACACTTTGCCCATCTTCTACTCCAACATTGCTAATATTATCCATTTTCATTGCAAAACGTGAAATTTCTTGTCCATATTCCAAAAGTGGGGCATAACGAATAAATTGTTTTTGTTCTTCCATAGTTGAAAAACCTCCATATTCTGTTAATTCGTCCTTAGCATCTTCACATTCAACTTCCATTTTAAACCCATCTAAGGTAAGCTCTGAAAAAAAATTTTTTTCTTCAAGAAAAATTTCAAAAAGAAATTTTTTCCCTTAAATTTGTCAAATAATTTTATGTTATACCCACTTTGGGGAAGTGGGTATATTGTTGGCGACCGGTTAATTTTCCCCCGAGGCAGCGCAAAAGCTCTTATTCTTCTTCTCTATTCGACCGTCTCTATTCGACATGGAAAAATTCACCGGTCACCAATAAACCTTAATCAGAACCAAAAAGGTCAGTCAGGTTCATTAGCCCCTGAAAGGTTTAAAAAGAAATGCTACTTTCCCTTCCAATTAAATTTTGATTTATCTTTATTTGCCAATAGAGTTTGGGGTTTTCGAGCCGGGCCGACGTTATTAGGCCGGCCCGACCGAAACTTTTTCGGGCTAAGATTCGATGCCTGACTCGATCCTTCGACCGAACCCCCAACTCTATTTGCCAATAAAACCTTAGTAAAAAGAGAGTTTAAGTTTCTATCCCAGCATTGCAAGTTGAGGGTTCGACCTACTCCGAGGCCCAACTTCGAGGCTCGTTTAGGACAAAACAATTTTTCTCTTCGAAAAAAATTCAATTTTTCCCTACCCAATTCATCTTCATTTCCAGAAACAAATTCACTCGAATCTTCCTCTTTAATAATTGTTGTGCTTGTTGGGGGTGTTCCAACAAGCAAAGAACACCCATTTGAACGCCCATCCCCATTAGACATAGCTTCCAATGTTGTAGCACAAATAGAGGAAGAACTTACACCATCACGACTTTCTTCACTTATTTCCATAAAGTCATCACGTTTTGGAAAATTATTTGTTGAATTGCCATTTTGTTGTTGTGAAGAATTTGTATGTTCATTATCTTCTAAAAAACAACAACAATCATAATTTTTAAGAGTAAACTTGAAAAAGTAAAAACTAAAGAATATTTTCTTAAACTTTCCAAGTTTGCAAGAAAAAACTAGAATTTTGTAAAAAAATTTATATAAACTTAAGCTCAAGTATTATATATAAACTGGATTATCATTGAAATAAACCATTGAATCAGCACTTAACAATAAATAATTGTGTCTGATTGTTACGTTACAATCATCAATGTACGAGTACTTACAAGGAAAAATAGGGAATATTAGTAAAAGGAATGAGTAAATTTCAAATTTCCAAGCAGTGGTGTTAACAACCAAGATTGTCGGTTCATGGAAACTCTACGATATCCGGAACCAAACCGAAGAATGAACCGAAAAATCCTTTCTTCTTCGGTTCAGTTCGGTCCAGAAACGACAACCCTATTAACAACACCCAAACAAAAAGCAAAAAATGACATCATTGGGTAGATTAAAGGCTATTTCAATGATTTATATTTAAATATCCCAGAATTAAAAAATTTTTCCTTTTCTTTCTTACCATTACTCGAACGTCGTTTAACAGGATTATGCAAATCTGTAGCAGAATTCAAATTCTTCCCTTCATCATTAGAAGAACTCGGAATCATTGTAAAATCATCATCATCATCTACAGCAGAAGCACTTCTTTTTCCCCCTCTACTACTTGAAGGACGTGGAGATGGGGAGGATAAATTATTATTATTATTAAATTGTTGTTTAGTTGAAAGTGAATTATTTTCATTTAAATTATTTGATTGTTGCTGTTCTTGAGGTAATGGAGGTAATTCCTTTAAATTAAATAATTTTTTGTGGATGAACAAGGGCCCTGTCACATCTTAAAAAGCAGGAAGGTGGAAGAAAATAAAAGTGGAAGCGGAAAAGATCTAATCCCTGATTTAGGCCAGGGTTGGCCCTCGTCTCCGAAAATCGAGAAAATTCGAGAGATTCTTTTGAAAATTCCCCGTTCCCCCCCCCCCTCGTTGAGGGCCAACTTCAATTTATACCCTGACCCTGCCTAACACCAACTTTTATAATTCTAAAACCCCGACCCCACCCCAGGAATGTCACAAAAGGTAGCTGAAACTACGGACTATTCCCAAATCAAAATCCGATTCGTAAAATATTCCAAAACGCGATCCGATAATTCCTCAATTTTTTCTATTCCCAAACTTGTCTAACCCGAAAAAGGCCCAACTTTTCTAATCAAAAAGATGTTCTAGTGAAAATTAAAAAAAACCCTACTTTAGTAATTTCTTTATACATTTCAATAAAATGCTGTGTTTTAATTAATAATGCAAGTTGTCGATTTGTTTCAAACAAAGAAGGAAATAATTGCTAAAATTGTTAAAATAAGTAAAATAAAATTTATTTATTCAAAAAAAATTTTTCTCTACTGCTCATACTATTTTTTTATTCAAGTTTAGGATTGTTTTCAGAAAAAATTAATTATTATGAAAATATTATAATAATTAGGGTTGTCGGTTCCAGACGAGCCAATGATTTTCGGTTCGGTTCTTCGGTTTCGAATATCCGAAAAATTTCCATGAACCAACAACACCCCTAGTTAATAATGTTTTTCAAAATAAGGTAAATTTTAATATTTTTTAAAAGAGACAAGCCAGAAGGATGAAGGATCGAAGCCTGCCACAAAAATTAAACATTTACCCCACACTTGTTTTTAAAATATGTTCCCCACAAATTTTCAAAATGTTTTACACCAAATTTAATCCAATTTAAACCTCAATTTTATCAATAGCATCAGCCAATTGTCCCTTTTTAACCATACGAACAAGAATTCTGCGTTGTTCCATTTCTTCAAAAAGAGCTTCCTGAACTGAACGGACCACTGAACGTCTAACATTTCCTCCCCCTCCTCCTCCTTGTGGTTGTGTAGAAGAAGAATTCTCCCCTCCATTTCCACCCAATAATCCAATCATTGAATTCATTACAACTTCGGCAACTTTTTCTGCTGCAACTGTTGGTGATTGAGAATCTTTGGAATCAAAAGTTATTGTTGAACCCTTTAAATGGAATTTAAAAAAAAATTCTTTTTAAATTTTTAATAAACTTGAGAATCGCTTTTAGCCAGTTGTTGTGAAAGTTCCCCTCTAGTTCCACCTCCTGTTGCACGATTTAAAGCGTCTAAGGCGCGAGAATATCCTTCATGAGCCATCCAATTTGAAACAAGACTTAATTTAAATTTAAAATTTTTTGGTAATAGTCTAATTCAAGGGCGTAGCCAGGGAGGCTTCTGGGGCTAAAACAGAATTTTTGGGGCACACACCATTTTAGCCCACCCCACCCTTGAAATCGATCCCCTGGCTACATCCTTGGTCTCATTTGTGTGCGACATTTATTTTTATGAGGATTTATAGGAAAGAAGTGGAGGATAGATGGTCTAGAGTAGAGACCGGCGCGGGACGGGATCCCGACGGGATTTTCCGGGATCCCGATCCCGAAATCCCGGATTTTTTTTATTTTCGGGATCATTCGGGATCCGGGATTTTTTCGGGATTACTCCCTCGGGATCCCGTCCCGGCATCGGTTAAAAAATAAAATCCCGACTCGGGATCCCGGAAATTTTTTTATAATTTTCGGGATTTTTATATTTTTCAAAATTTTCGCCTGCGGCGCTGAAAAAGGAAGAAATCTGTCTTAAGGATCTTCCAAAATTCCCCAAATTTTCGCCTGCGGCGCTAAAAACGAGAGAAAATTGGAGTCTTTACTGGAGATAAAGCGGAGGGATATTAGTATATAGTGTGATTTTATCAAGGGACCTGTTGATTAATCCACCGATATCCCTCTAAATCTATTATAGAGGGAATTAAAGGAGGAGGACAATCCAATTATAAAAAATTATTGATATTTTCATAAATTAAATTGTATTTACATATAAATTGAAGTATTTTGGGATATAGTTTAGTCGAGGGCCTAGCTCGAATGAGCTATCATTTGTATAATCGAATTTTTGACCCCAAAAATCACCCCAGAAATTTGACCATTTCGAGTCCTATATCTCGGTTCAAACTCGTCCAATCACAGTGAGTTGGGTGTCATTCGACTCAGCTCGAGGAGCTCTTTCGAATGAGCTATTATTCAGAAAATTGATTTTTTCACCCCCAAAAAGTGCTTACTCCCCCCTTTGGTTTTTCAAATTTCAGGGACCTATATCTCGGTCCACAGGCATTTCCGCACCTGGAGAGTGGTACCGTTCGACTCAGCTCGCCGAGACGAATCGATTGACATAGCCGTATTTTGATGGACTTTATTTATAAAAAGTTAAAATTTTTTATTTTGAAAAAAAAATCCCGAATCCCGGGCGGGATCCCGGATAATTTTTTTCGGGATTTTTGAAATCCGGGATTTTTTCGGGATTACTCCCTCGGGATCCCGTCCCGGCATCGTTTAAGAAAAAAAATCCCGACTCGGGATCCCGGAAGTGCGATTTTGCCGGTCTCTAGTCTAGAGTGGTGTAGGATACTTCCATGTATATTTTAAAGGATCAGAAAAGGCTGACAATAAATCCATGAGATTTAATGTTCTGAAATATTTTAAAAAGTAAATGTGTAAATATTTCTATAGACTTTTATTTCTATAGACTTGACTTCAACTTTAAGGAATGAGTCAAGTAAACAAGTAAGGTAATAATGGATTTTCTTTTGCCGTAGAATAATCTATTCTAATTGAGTTAATTGGATCGTTTCCCAGAGACGGCACTTAATTTGTGTAGATTTAGGAATATGACAAAACCGATATAACCCCTTCAGTCAAAAAAGAGAATTGGATAGAGAAAAAAACGAACCCATTATCTTTTTTTAATTTTTAAATAAAAACCTGTTCATCCACAAAACTTTTTCTGCAGGCAATTCTATAGCATTAATATTATCCATGGTTGCTTTTTCAGCCATTTTTAGTTCTGAACGCATATCAAATAAAAAAGGTTTTTGACCAAAATTAGCGTCAATCTTTAAAAACAACGTCGAATTTAATTTTTAAATTTATTAAAAATTAGAAACCATTTCATCAGCAGTCTGCATTCCAATAGTAGGGAAGAGATCATTATTTAATGGAATGGATAAGGCATTTGCAACGCCTAGAAATATTTTTAAAAAATTTTTCAAGCATATAAGAACCTTGAAAACACAAAAAATGCGTTTAAATTTAATTTAAAAATAATTAACCCCAAAAGGGTTCGAACCCACCACCCACATTAGGGGAAGAAAATAAAAACTAAGCCACTTAACCAAAAAATAGAATTTTTTCAAATAATTTGTTGGAGTTCCAAAAAAAATTTTTTTTGAACATTTACTAATACTAGTTCCCCAAGAAAAAATATATGCCGCTAACAGGGATCGAACCTGTGACCTTGGGCTTATTAGACCCACGCTCTAACCGGCTGAGCTATAGCGGCACACATGAGGACAAATTAAATAAGTAGCTAAGTTTTACTAAAATTTTGATTTTTCTGGGAAAATGTTCAAAAAAAATTTAGACCTTGAAAAATAATTTTTAAAATACCCAAATGTTGTCCATTCTTCGTAAAAAATAATTGTCTAGTCACAAAATTCAATCCACACCCAATAACATCTCCAGTAGTAAAAGTAGGTCCATATTCAACTCCCTTGCCAGAAGACGAAAAGAAATTTCCATCGTCCCCGTGGTATCCATAAGAAATTGGATCCCATCCAGGCAAACGATTTAACGAAACATTTTTCTCAGAAAGTCCAATGCCCATAAATCTGAAAATTTATTTTTTTAAATTTTTTTACTAAAATAAGCAACGTGATTGGGTAATAGATAACCTAATTTGTTAATCTATAACATTTTCGTAATGTCGAATTAGGGTGTTAAATTTAGCTTTAAAGTAAAGAACAGTGCTAGGTATCGGGCAATCCAGTTCCAAGCTCCGGGCTTTAAAATTTTAGCTCAAGCTCTGCTGGAGCACGGCTCCGGAGCCGCTCCTTTTCTCAATTTAATTCTAGTTCCCTAATGATGAGTAGAAACAAAGTTAGAAAATTGACCGTTCCTTTAGAGGAAGTAAGGAAAAATGGGACTATCAGAGATCGGAAATTTTAAAGAACCCTGACCTAGATTCTTGATTTTAGTTGAGTCGAGCAAAAAGAAAATTCAAGGAAAAAAGCAAGGATAATGAGAAATCAAGAAACACTGAAAAATGACTTGATCCGGGCCCAGCAAAAATCAAGGTCTAGGTCTAAATCGCTCTCAAGAAGCTACATAGACCCTTAGAATATTACCTAATATAATTTAAAACTAACCCATCTTGTCCTTTACTAACAACAGTAATTTCAAAATAATAAACAATACAAGAACGTGGAATTGGTCTATTTGCACGAACGGCAGCAGCGTCTTTACTGTTTTGATTAGTTCCTTTGCCTTAAAAAACAAAGAAAATTCTTTAGAATTAAAAAGAAAAAGAAACGTTTAGTAACACGCAAGAAATCGGCAGAAAGTTCCAATATTGGCAATTGCTGGCTAACACTATTATTTTGCTGGGGGAGTGACCAACGATCTGTTTTACTCCAAATTCGAGGCAATTTCTTTAAAAAAATTTCTTTAAATTTTTAAAAAAAAATCAAACTTGAATATCAGTATAGGGATAGAGAAGCTGCAAGCGTTGTAGAACTGCGCCCTCGTCGTAGTCATACATTGCCTAGAAAATAATTTTTTAATAAAAATGGAAGGATGATTTTTAAAAAAGGTCAGGTCATCAGGGAGGAAAATAAGGGTAATTCCAAGTTTCGACCCCTTTCACATCCTATTTATACCCTTAAGACTCTTAAGATGTACTAATAGTCAGACTTTCTTCCATTTTTAATTTCATTCCATTTCCTTAATGTTGAGCAGAAATCATCGTCATATATTCCCTACAGAAGTGAATCGAAGAAAATCGAAAATGGTGCTGGAAATCGAAAATGGCTCAAAAGCCTAAATTTTCGGAAATCGGACGGAAAAAAATGTGGGAAATCTGAATTCCGATTCATAACTGATCCCCTATTTCCCTATCCCCTTTTTACCCAATTCTTAAAAATAAAAGATAAATCCAAACCGAATGCATCGGATCCGGAGGCACAGGAACAATAGTAGCTATAGCAGAATTACTTGTTCCCTCTTTTCCATCACTAGAAAGCCCTCCCCCGCTACTATTCATTGAATCATCATTTCCAAGTACATCCACAATAGAAAAGCGTTGAGCAGAAGAAGAGGAAGAAGACAAAGTATTATTTGCTGCGGAAGAACTGCCAGAAGAAGCTTCTGCCCCGTCAATCATTGGAATGTCATCATTTCTTTGTTGTTCTTCCATTATTTTTATTATTAAAAAATTTATTTTTTTCCTTTAAAAAAATTTTTCAAATAAAAATTGATTTTGAAAAAAAAATATTTACAAAAAATTAAAGTGCATTTAAAATGCAAACATTAAAACTAACGAGTAAAATTGCTTAAACATTGAGTATTTTTTAATAAAATGGGATTTAGAAAAATTTCAAAAAATAACAAAAAAAAATTTTTAGCCTAGAAAAAAATTTTTTTAAGCCTAAAAAAATTTTTTAAATTGAAAACTCAAAGAAAACAGCCTTGAAAATAAGAGAAAAAAACAACGGGACCCAAAAGTACTCGAACCCACACCCCTTAAAAATGTGAGGGGAGAACACTACCAACTGAGCTACCAGCCACATCAAGTAAATTTTTAAATCAATTGTGAAGAATTAAATATTTTAAACTGGTACGTTCACGACCGGTTAATTTTTGCCTGTGGCAGTTCAAATGAGCTTATTCTTCTCTATTTGAGCCGTCACAAGCGTTAGTTAACCGATCGTGAACACACCCTAATTTAAACACCTTAAAAGCTAATTTTGGAAAATGTGCTGGAAAATTTTCTTGAAAAATTCCCAAAAAATTCTAGGCTCGAAACTCTTCGAAAATTTACTGCTGAAATGATATAATCTCCTCTAAAAATGTGTAGTTTTATCATCAAAATAATTAAAAGAAAATACTTTTTTTCTTCTTTTTTTGTTCTCTAAACAACTAAAAATATATCACAAATTCGATTTTCGTACATGTGAGAGAGAGAGAGAACACACACTTCATATATACACATACACGATGTTCACCCTACGACTTCATCACCTTTTTACCTCAAGAGCATTATTTTTTGTTTCGTCTTATTTTTTTCTCCCCAACTATTTACTATTACACCATTGATGTTTTAAAAATATGCTTTGTGTGTTTGTGTCAGTCAACTACCACCACTTTTCAGATGCACCAAAAAACCGTCCATAGGGACAGGAGCCATAGGACAGAAGTATTCACTGGTGGAATAGGGTCCCCTATCAGGGCTGCACGCTATTCAATCTCCATAATCTGCACACCAAGAGCTTTTGGATGATATAAAAATTGTTTAAAAAATTATCATGGATAACAAGGTACCAAAAAAGGTATGCCTACCAAAAATGGAAAGAAATAAAGGGAAATTGACACTAGTTTACACCCACCCATAAGAGAACCACGAGTTAAGAAAATTTTAAATAAAAAATATATTTTAGAAAATGGATAAGGGGATAATAGATGATTATATAATAGATAAAGAGAACAAATAATATGGATGGAAAGGACACTTTCGGATGAAATTTATTAGAGTATGGAACGAATGAAAGTCGTTTTAAGAAAACTGGATTTTGAAGCATATAAACAAGGCAAAGAAAATATTGTTGGCGCTAGCCATAGATTTTATTATCTGGAGGTCTACATATTCTTCCTAAAAACTAAAAAGTTGCGTAATTCAAAAGATTATTTTTGAGTTTCCAACAATTTAAAATTTGTGCCCCGAGGCAATATTTAAATTTAAAATTTATACAAGAAAAAAATTTTTTTAAGAAATAAAATTAGTAAAAAAATATTTTTTAAATTTCATCGGGTAGGGTGATGGGTAACCTTCTCCCATCACAAAAAAATGTAAAAAAAGGAATGAAAAAACGGATTCTCTTTGCGGACAGGGTAGACCGGCAACTGAACCATTTTACCAAGGTGGAGGACTTATTGGTTGAGGACTTGTTATTACTCCTCTCAAGTGGTTTCCCAAAAAATTTATCTTTATTTTTGCCTTGCTATTAGAATTTATGTCTGAATTTTTACACAATTATTTTAGCAAACACTAGAGCCATGGCAATAGTAGTAGCACCACCACCAATTAATATACTCACCAAATAATTCAATGTTTTAACTACTTTTTCTGGCCGCCATCAGGCGGTCTACTTGAGCGTTCATTTTTGCAGAATTTAAAATTTTAAAAAGAAATTTCTCTAGGTATGTTTTCTAATGTTGGGTAGACTGAGGCTTTAGCCAGTCGGTGTTTTGATGATTTTTCTAACAAAATTCTTTTTACCTTTTTTTTGTCTTACAGTTGGATTTATTTTTGTTCTCAATTTTTTACATTTAATTTTTTAGTAATTAAACCAAAACTACCAAAATGTCTGCCATCCCTCCAGCACAAATTATTACCTCTCCAACAAAATCTATTTTCTTCAATCCTGGCCGGAATCAGACAATTTATTTTACAGTATTTTTTAATATTTAATTTTTAAAATTTTTGATTTACCTAGATGCAAAACACAGGAACGAGGATTATTACATTCAAAATAACAACCAATTCGCAAATACTATTTATAAATCCAAGCTCAGGACAAATAAAAGGAAAAGAAGAAAAAATGTTGAAGTAAATTTAAGAGGGTTTTCTAAATTATCAGAAATAATTACAATTGAGTGGATGTGTTCAGTAGTTGGAAAACAAAATTTTATTTGGTATGCGTAGTAGAATCATAACAATTCCTTCATAGTTTGATTTTCATGGTCTTTTGGTAAATAAATATGTTCATAATTCATCAGGTTGAACAATTTCGATATTTGGATTTATTTTGATTTTTAAATGCTTCCAAAGAATGATATGTTGTATATAAAGACTATTTATTTACCAAAAGACCATGAAAATCAAACTATGAAGGAATTGTTATGATTCTACTACGCATACCAAATAAAATTTTGTTTTCCAACTACTGAACACATCCACTCAATTGTAATTATTTCTGATAATTTAGAAAACCCTCTTAAATTTACTTCAACATTTTTTCTTCTTTTCCTTTTATTTGTCCTGAGCTTGGATTTATAAATAGTATTTGCGAATTGGTTGTTATTTTGAATGTAATAATCCTCGTTCCTGTGTTTTGCATCTAGGTAAATCAAAAATTTTAAAAATTAAATATTAAAAAATACTGTAAAATAAATTGTCTGATTCCGGCCAGGATTGAAGAAAATAGATTTTGTTGGAGAGGTAATAATTTGTGGTGGCGGGATTGTGGACATTTTGGTAGTTTTGGTTTAATTACTAAAAAATTAAATGTAAAAAATTGAGAACAAAAATAAATCCAACTGTAAGACGAAAAAAAAAGAATTTTGTCAGAAAAATCATCAAAACACCGACTGGCTAAAGCCTCAGCCTTTTACTAAGCACCCTACCCAACATTAGAAAACATACCCAACATCTAAAATTTAGAGAAATTTCTTTTTAAAATTTTAAATTCTGAAAAAAATAAACGCTGAAGTAGACCGCTTGATGGCGGCCAGAAAAAGGAGTTAAAACTGAATTATTTGGTGAGTATTAATTGGTGGTGGTGCTACTACTACTATTGCCTTGGCTCTAGTGTTTGCTAAATTAATGAAGGTGTAAACATTCAGAGATACTCTAATTCTAATATCAACGCAAAAATAAAGAAATTTTTGGGAAAATCGAAAAATCATTCTTAAAAACATTATAATCAGGCCCCACTAGAAGATACTCCTAAAATCCTCATATGTTTTTAAAACCCGGTTGGCTATTTGGCACAGGAGGGAGAGGAAACATCCTAGGCGATCCTTACTTATTACTACAAAATAGTAATAAGTTTAAACTAGAGTAGCAATCAGACCCCGAACCCCGACATGCCTTCCCGGCAAACCCCGATCCCCGACCCCGAAGGGTCAGGCTACTACCCTAGTTTTTAAACATTACCGGAAAACAAAAAAATATTTTAAATAAACTGTCATTTTTTCAAAGTTTGTCTCAATCAGCTTCCTTCAGAAAGAGTAAAAAGCCATTTTTATCATCTGTTAGTTGAGCAATTTGTTGTTGAAGCTAAAAATAATTTAAATAAAAATAGTTTTATTTCAAAAAATACCCTCAAAAGAAGTTGCTTTTCAGTTTCTGCTTCTAAAGTAGTCATTTCAACTTGTGATGAAATTCTTCCAAGTTTATTTGTAGGTGACAAACGTTTGAGTGTTTTAGAGGTAATATTGGATGAAAAAGAGACCCAAAGTTGGTAGTCTAAAAAAAATTTTTTTCCAATAACTTGAAGCAAAAAATGTTTCTCACTTTTTTGCTTCAAATTTAGAATGAAACAAAAAAAGTTTAAAAAAATCTAAAACTAGGGAAACTACTCAAAAACAAAAAAGCTGAAATTAGCAGTGGTTAGTAACCGAGATTGAATCTTTAATTTAAAAAAATCGAAAACCGACGAAAAAAATATGCTTCAATTATACAAAATAAAGAGATCATGTTTTGCTTCAAAAACAGAAAATTAGATTTCAAAAATATTTTTATTGAAAAATATTTTAAGAAATTTTTAAAAAATGAAGCAAAAACCCAAAAAGCTTGTCAAAAGAAAACAAGAATGCTTCAAAAACTGGAAAATGAAGCACGCTTCAATTACAAAAATTAAGTGAACCATGTAATGTTCAAAGAATAAAATTGAAGCAAAAAAGCTTCGAAAATTTTTTTAAAGTGAAGGGGCGAATTCAGTATTTCTGGGTTCAGGACCAATGGGCATTTGGGTCCGGGGGAGTCTTATTCATTACAATTAATCTAACAATAAGAAAAAATTTACCCTTCGTTACTGCAAGGAAAAAATGAAGGCCCACCTCATTTTAAAGGCACACCTTCCAAATATTCAACAAAAAAACAAACCTTAATTCAAAGAAATTTACGCCCAACAGTCCAAGAACGTCAATCAATTCCAAATTCACTTCCTTCAAAAAAGTTCCTTCGGGAAAGCAAAGCGTGTCAACAACACAAAGCGTGTCAACCTGAGCGTGTCAACAACATGATGAGAAGCTTGTGTTGTGATTTGCTGATTAATTTGAACTAAACAGAATATAAAATAATAAATTTAAAAATTAATAACCAGAAAGAGGTGCAATTCGAATAAGACGTCCATTTTTATCCAAAGATGCATCGGATCGCAAATTGTTTATCCAAGACTTTTTGCACGCATTCAATTTGACTAAAATGTTGTAAACCATCCAACATTGAAAGAAGCGCCCAAATAGTAAAATCGCAAGAACCAGGAAGCAAGCAAGCTGCGCAATAAATTTTAAATTCAGAAAAATATTGAATGACAAATTTTGGTACATCCGTTATATGATCACAAATTGAGTGCCAACCGAATTTGATCGGCTATAAATTTTTTGGGCTTGATACAATTAAAATTAATCTTATATCAATCGAAAGCCATCGATAATCGGTAGCTTTTTTCTGTTTGGATAGATCAAGCTGACGACTGAGTCCGCAAGATATGTCCGCAACTCACAAAAAGTTATAGCTGATAAAAGTGAGCTGCTACTTAAAATTGTGGGCATATAACAGATAATTACCCAAATTTTAATAAATTTCCCCCAATAAAATTAATTTAACATTAGACGGTACTTGTAGGTTATTCCAAACCAGTTTTTGCGGACATTTCTTGCGGACTCATGAAAGTTGCAAGTCCCAATAATTCCCCCCAAACAACCATCACTTCCCCGAACATATTGAATAAAGCAAGGGAAAATATGGATGTTCTGACCCTTATGAGACCAATTAATGCATCAGAGTAAATATATCCGTTTGGGATAACTCACAAGTACCCATTAAAATCTTATAAATTTTACCTTATAAGCGGACAATGTTAAATTTGTCCTGGTCCAATAAATAGAGAAGTAGTAGAGTACAAATTGATTGACTATCAAAAAGTTGAAGAGCACTCCCATTTGACTGAGTCATTATAGAAATTTGTAAAATTTGAAGCAGAAGTACTCGAACGCATCCACAAGTTTGAAAAAGATGAGGCATTGCAAAGTGTCTATGATGATGGCGAATTCGAGGCCGCAAATTATTTTGAGCATAAACTCGGCATGGCGTTGCCGAGTTTAATCTAATAAATTTTGGGAGAAAAAATAAGAAATAAAAAAAGTATTGATAATACTTTGGAGACACTCTCCCCCCTTTTTTTCCATTTCCCTTTCTGGTATCTGTTCCTTTTCTGGCAAATTATATATCATTCGATAGAGCTCTTCGAGCTGAGTCGAATGTCAATAAAATTAATAAAATCTGACTTCAAAAAAATCAGAGAAAGGGGGGGGGGGTCTAAACCAAAGTATTACCAAAATATTCAAAAATATCGTGCGACAACTACTAATAATAAAAAAATTTAAAAGATTGCTTTACAATTAAAAAAAATAGGATTCGAAGGCGCAAATTTTTAGGATTTTCGAAGGCCGTACTCCGCCTTCTCACGGGGTTTTGCGTCACGCGTCTTGCTGAAGTCAACTATTTCTAGGCTCTGGACTCAGTAACATAAGCCTTCCTTTTTACAGATTTCAGCGTTAAGATGCCAACGTGCAGAGATCGAAAAAAATGACAAAGTTCGAAAGTCGTAAATCGGAAATAATAAACGACAAAATGCCACAGGGCAAAATGCCACAGGGAAAAATGTTAGCAAGTGATTTTTATTTCAATTAGTCAACAGATGAGGGAATCAACAGAGATTAGTGGGATTTGAGTGATTAAGATGGATATTGAGAAATATTGAGGGATTTAGAGGATTGAGAGAGATGCAGAGTGTTATCAGGAATTAAAAGGGATATTGGGAGATTCAATTATTAAATGAAAAGTCAACTTGAAATGTGTCATGTTTTGAATAAAGGATCGTCTACTGAACTCTGTGCACTGAAAGGATGGGAAAGAATTTAAAAAATGGAGTAAGTTTTGGTGAAACATGTAGTACCTACTTTTGTTTTATACGGAAATACTGATTTTATTTTGGAACAAAACCAGGAGAAATCTACAAAATTCAAGGCTATCGATACTTATACGAAATAAAAAAGTAAAGTCCATATTTCTTTTCAATGTAAAGATCTCGGTACCCCAAAAGCAATTATTTATATGAAAAACGAAAAATAACACAAACAACATTTGTGACAATATATACTTATGTTGGGAATAGGGTTGCCAAAATGGACCGACTCGGACCGAAAGATCGAGTCGGCCTAAGATATTTGGCCCGAAAAAGACTCGTACAGCCCGACTCGATGAAATCAATCCCGAAAAAATGCCTCGACCGTCGGGCCGACTCGAAAACGGCAACCCTAGTTGGGAAATCAGAAAATACATTTCAACTGAATAGGGATGAGTGATCACTTTTATTATCGGGAAGTCAATGGAGATAACTATCATTACATCACATCAACGCTGGAACACATGGAACGAGCAGCGCAAGTTCTCGTCGATGGACATAATTGCGCCGGCGTTGGTGTACCAGCGGGCGAAGTGCGGCACACTGAAGAGCGTGATGAGCCTCCTGTTTGCGAAGAACTCAACACCCTCTTGCACAACCTAAAAATAAGATTAAATGTATTTAATGCGTGATTGAATGTTGATTATAGTAGTACCTGGTGAGCACGCACGATCAAGTCAATGTCCAATTGTTGGCAAATACGAGCGACAACGTCTTCGCCAAACGTGACACTTGCACCCTGCGGACTTCTTACACAGTCTTGAACACCATTTTCCGGATCGGCCCAGAGCAAGTCGAGCTCAATTCTTGGGATTGCCGCGTCGAAGTCAAACACCGGGCGACGGAGAGAACGCAACTGGTCCAAACTTTGCAGACGATCCGAGATTCCCCCGTGCATGCCTAAAGGAAAAATTCAGAGGATGCCTTTTCCTAATTATCCATCTACACTTACACAGGATCCTCCCGCCAACCAAAGCAGTGAACGGCAGCCAAGCGAACGCCTGGTTGAATGTTATCCAGAGCAATTGAGTGTCGCGTGGGTATTGTCGGCGGATCTCCTTGAAGAACCCATGGACACGATTGATGTTGCTGCATTCGTGGCTGCCGCGCAACAGGAAGAAATTTTGCGGGTATCTTGTTTTGTAGGCCAAAAGCAGGACAGCCGTCTCGATGCTTTGAGGGCCGTGGCCGACGTAATCTGCGAAATTTTGAAAATCTTATTAGAAGAGCTGTTGGGTCTTTACCTCCGAGAAAGAGGAAGTTTGTCAGCGGTGGAAAGTCAACTTGATGGAAGATGCGCATCAAGTCAGAAAACTGTCCATGGATGTCACCGCATACAACCACGGGCGGTTCGATCTCCACCAGAGACGGTTGAACACGAAGAACTTCAATGGCGCTATGGCACAGAGCTTTGATTTCTGCTGGGGTGACCTTCATAAATGGAAATTTTTAATGAAACAAACAACACCTACCAGTTGCATGAAGCGGTGCGAGTCCGTTAGCAAAATGCGCCTGATGAGGCCATCCACCTCCGCCAAGGTCAGCGTCGGATGTGCCATTATTCGTTGTGAAGTCTGGAGTGCAAAGGCCAAGTTGAGAAGAGTAGCTGTCGACGTAACAATTGGAGTAAGTAGTTGAAGTAGTTTGCCTATATTGAAAATTTATAAATTTTGCCTTTTCCATTTTGCCTTTTCCATTTTCCACATATTTTGCCTTTTCCATCTTTTGCCAATTAGGCTAAGAATCATGTTTTGTCAACAAAACTTTTGACAAAACGCGGGTTTTTACCCATGTTGGCAAAAAGTGTTATTGGCAAAATGTATCTGCATTATCTAGATTTTTTCACTTTTATTCATTACGCCAAAAGAAATTTTTATAATTACTTTTAAAAGTAAAAATATTTTCTTTGCGAATTCTCGTTACCAATTTTATTTTTTAACCTAGTTTTGTTTCACTCATTATTTTTTAGTGATTGAAATACTTGTGGATTGCTTCCAAAAATTTCTCTTTTAAGATCTCAAACCCAAAAAAATGATTCATGATGATTTTTACGACACTTCCAATGATTATTTATTTGCGACTGAAAATCAGGAAATTGTGGATTCTCCAAGTGTTACACTTGATGAACAGGTTTTTACTTTAAATTAATCATGGTAGTCTTGATGGGCTCCCCCTTAATTCTTCAGAAATGCTCATAGTAAGAAGACGGCCTCAATTTTGATTGTTTTACTCTGGGAGAACATTCATTTATTTTTGGAGTTTAGGAATAGAATTTAATGCTCTAGGGTTGTTTCTCATCATAATGTGAAACAAGAAACCTCTTATTCTACCCCAATAAATAATATTTAATTGGGACACAATTTGGGATCAAATGTCACCCTTTGGGATCAAATGTCACCAAATATTTAATTTCTGTAATTTTAATAAATTTTAGACCCAAAATGATCAATTACTACCTAAAATCAAGGATAAACCAGAAAATTGTTCAAATTTACCAAATAACGACGAAAATGAAGATGAACTCAATTCAGCAATTCCATCCTCCGAAACAATTTCAATTTTAAAAAAATATTTTGGATTTTCAAAATTTCGTCCTTTACAATACCAAATTGTCCATTCAGCAATTCTAAAAAGGGATCAACTTGTTGTGATGTCCACTGGCTATGGAAAAAGTATTTGCTATCAAATGCCTGCTCTTTTACAAGAAGGACTTATTACTTTGGTTGTTAGCCCGCTAATATCTTTAATGGAAGATCAAGTGTTTGCTTTACAGTTGAGGGTTTTTAAATGTTATTTTTTAAAATATATTAAAAATTTTATAAATATTAGGAAATTAACAAAAATTTAAAATAGTTGCCCTTAATTTTTTAAATTTTTTAAAATTGGGTTGGGTCTTGGTCTTGTGGTATAGGAATGTTTGATCCGGATCCGAAATAATTTGGTTGTTCTAAATTTCGGGTCGTATATCGCATCTGGATATCCGTGAGCTTCACAGGTCCACTCAACTTTACTGTGAATTAATCGGGGTGGTTGAAAGTAATTTTAAACCTGGACTTTCCGCTGGCCCACTTTTCCTGGCATTCCCGCTTCTCCATGTATTCTTTGTTGCCCAGATCGGTCCTGGATTTCCTGACAATCCTCTCGGGCCTGGCTCCCGGTCTTTACCAGGTTTTCCATCCCAAGTAAGCCTGGTGGACCGGGATAGCCTGGAGGACTGTTGGGGCTAATTGGTCAGTTTTCGGAAAAGGAGCGACTTTTCTATTATCTTTCTACCTTCCAAATATAGCATTAAAAAATTTTAATAGGATTTAAACATATAATTTTTTTATTTTTTAGACAAGCAGGAATTGAAGCAGCTTATTTGGGAGGAAATTCAAATATACCTCGTGATGTTATTTTCGACCAAATTAGAATGAATAAATTGAAAATTTTGTATATTACACCAGAAATGTATGAATGTTCGCCAAGCTATGTTGATCGAATTGCTCAATGTATGGGGGTTTTTAAGATTTTTAGGGAGATTTGAGGGTTTTGATGATTTTTTGACAACTTTTTCTCTTAAAATTTTTTATTTTTTGCAGTTGTTGGCCTCTTGGCTGTAGACGAAGCTCACTGTATCTCTGCTTGGGGACACGAATTTAGACCTGGCTATAGAACAATTGCAAATATGAGAAAATCTTTACCTAAAGTCCCAGTTATGGCCTTAACTGCTACAGCAACAGAACCCGTTAGAAATGATATTGTGGAAAATTTGAGGCTGGTATCGCCTAAAATTACTGTGACAGGTTTTGATAGGTTTGCTTTTAATTTTTTGGGAGGTTTTTAGTTTTTGTATTCTCAATTTTATTTTTATTTTTAAAGTCAATTTTTAACCCACAGCTTCACCGAATCCTTCCATTTGTCGGTTTGAACCCTAACCGAAAAATCAGTTTTCGAGTTGCCATTCGGTTTCGATTATCCAAAGAATTCGATTAAATCTATTATATTATTTTTATGTTAGAACATCTAACAAACTACTTCATTTATAAAGTTCGGGATCTAATGTAATTTCTTTTTTATATGTCACCTTCCCGTATTAATTTAAATATTATCTCATTTATTAAAATTTTAAAGTAGTGTTTATTTATTTTTTATTTTAGAAAAAATCTTTTCATTGAAGTCAAGAAACGAACACAATCGCTCACGTATTTTTACTTTTAAATTTATTTTGTAAAATTATTTTTGTCTATTTTTTAGTTTCCAAAGAGCCGTTCAAAACGATTTGGAATCCCTTTTAATTGAAGATCCCAAACTTGGGTTACATTTTGGTGGCTCTACTATAATTTATTGTCAAAGTAGAGATCATGTAAATCAAATAACAGAACAATTAAGAAGTTTGTTTTTTAATTAATTTTCTTGTATGGGTTTAAAAATTTAGTTTTTCATAATTTAAGCGTAAATTAAACGTTTATTTTAAGTTCCCTTTTTGGTTCCTTTTTGGAAATCCGTGTTAATTCTTCCTTCGCTATAATTAGTTTATTCCTTCCTTTTTTGGGGTTTTTTTTCATCATACCTCTTAACCTACCCATTTAATAAATAAAAAGCTAAAATCTATTTTGTGTGTTGTATGCTTGAGTGGGTAGTCGCTTATAGGGTTGAGGGCCCGGTCCGAAAGATCGAGGCGGGCATAGAATTTTGGCCCTAAAATGACTCGGTCGGGCTGGCCAATAAAAACGAGGCCCGAGAAAAATGGCTCGAACGTCGGCCCGACTCGAAAACCCCAACCCTAATTATTTATGTTGTGCGTTCGGGTATTTTCATTTTTCTACTATTAGGTAATATGTGTGTTATTTAAATTAAATTTTCTCTAAATTTCAATAAAAATTTTATTATTTTTTAGAAATAGGAGTTCGTGCAGTAGGTTATCATGCAGCAATGTCAAATAAACAAAGAGAAAAATCCCATAAAGAATTTTTAACAGAAAAGGCAACAACATGTGTTGCAACAATTGCTTTTGGAATGGGAATTGATAAAAGAGATGTTAGAAAAGTTATACATTATGGATGTAAGGCGGTTTTTTTTAAAGGGAATTTTAGAAAAAAATTAATTTTTTATAGCACCTGGAAATATTGAAAGTTATTATCAAGAAATTGGAAGAGCTGGACGTGATGGATTCCCTAGTAGATGCATAGTATTTTACTCTAATAGTGATATGCTTATACACAAGTTTGTTTAAAGTTTATTTTGTTTTTTAATTTGTGGACGAAACTTGCGGCGGATGGTCTTGCGGACGATGTCATCCTCCTCAACTTGAAATTTTTTTGAGACCTCAGTGACCATTAAGTAATCCGCTCTTTTCGATTTTTCAAACCCCAACTTGACACAAATTCGTATCCTGTGTATAGAATACTTCTTAAAAATCGTTTGAATGGGACAATATATGAATAGGATATTCTGAATTAAAAATTTGGCCAAAACTGGTTTTGGTTAACCAAAACCATGGGTCAGTCAAAAACCGACAACCGGGTAAATCAAAAGCCTGCCATAATTGAAAGCTATGGGTACCGGTTAATAATCGTTCTTCAACAAACCTAGTTTTAATAAAATGTTTTTTAATAATTTGCGGACAAAACTTGCGGACATGGTCTCAGTCCGCAATTTTTTAAGCCTTTTATTTTTTTTTGTTTTTTTTCAAGAAATCGAATAATCAACAAAAATAATAATAATATAAATATAACAACAAAATCCTCAAAAGATTATGAAATGCATCAATTGGATATGCTTCGTCGTATGGAACAATTTTTAACAACAACAAGTTGTCGGCGCTATTTAATTTTGTCCTATTTTGATAAAAATGTAAAACATCCAGAAATTCCAAAAAGTGATTGTTGTGATAATTGCACAAAATTGTTACAATCTGGAGTAGATAAAAGATATAATAAAGAAGAAATGATTTTTGATTTTGGAGAAGAAGCTAAAAAATTATTTAGAACAATTAATGAAGTTTTTGGTGGAAGGACTGGATTAAATAAACCGATTGATTTTATTAGAGGAAGTGTAAGTATTTTTTCGTTTTTATAAGAAAGAGGGGGGGGGGTTCTTAGAAAATCTTCGGATATCTGGAACCAGGGATGTGCGTCATGGGGTTTTGGCGTCATTTTGGCCGATTTTGGCGTTTGCGTGACACATCCCTGTCTGGAACCGAACCTGGAAAATCCTCAGTGGTTCTGTTCCGAATATTGTGGAAAATAAAGACTGGACTATGAGTCTTTATCGTAAGAGATACTATGTATCTCAAAAATATCTAAAAAATATCGTTTTCTTTAACCGAGATTTTTGTTAGAGATCTCATCTCTCGGTTCGGCCTTTGGTGAAAAATTATTGGAGTTTTAATCGAAAAATTTCAATCCTTAAATTTTTGCGTATACTTTTTGCGGACAAATATTTTTAAATTAATTTCAAAAATAAATTTTATTTTTTTAGAAAACAGTTTTATCAAAAGCACCAAAAACATTTACTAAAGGAGAAGATTTATCAAAACATCCACTTTATGGTTGTGGAAAATCCCGTTCAGAAATGTGGTGGAAAGAATTGGGAAAATTATTAAGAAATTATGGTTATTTAATTGATTCTAAATCAACATTTAATCAATTTGGGTGTATTACAAATATTTCTGATAAAGCTGAAAAATGGTTAAGAGAAGGAGGAAAGGTTTGCAAAAAAAATTTTTTTGAATTAAAAAATTTTTTTTCAATTTTTTTTTGAAAGGAAATCGAATAATTTTTTCATCTCTTTCTTCTAATCTCCCCAAAAAACCAGGGTATAGTAACAAGAACATACCTATCAAGGGCGTATCCAGGGGGGCTGGGGGGCTAGAGCCCCCAGCCCCCCCCCCCCCCCCCCGAAATGGATGAAGGGGGAAAAAATTAGGAGAAGGGTGGTCGAAAAAGTGAATTTTTTTGCCTACAACCCTCAAATTTTAAAAAATTTTCGCCTGCGGCGCAAAAAATGGAAGAAATCTGGCTTCTTGAGCTCCAAAATTCTAAAATTTTCGCCTGCGGCGCTAAAAAGTGAACTTTTTTGGCCTACGGCCCTCCAAATTCAAAAAATTTTCGCCTGCGGTGCTAAAAAAGTATATTTTTTTGCCTACGGCCTTCTAAAATTCAAAAACTTTTCGTCTGCGGCGCAGAAAAGATGAAAATTTATGTACAAAAAATTTGCGTCCGGAACGCCAAGGTAAACGCCAAAAAATTTTGCGCCCACCCAGTGTTAGCCCCCCCCCGAAACCGACCCCCTGGATACGCCCTTGATATCTATATATTTTTGGTAGACAAAAAATCGTAACCTTTTCATTTTCCTCCTTTGTGTTCACACTTGGTATGGGTAAGTTTTCGGTTCGGATTTTCAAAATTTTCATCGGATTTGGTTTTGGATTCCGGAACGGAAAAAATCCGAATATTTTGTTTTGGATAACCCACTCCCTCCCTGGTTCCCAGAGTTGCTTGTTGGATCGGACACCCTTTAGTCTCTCCCCCACCTTACAACTAGAGTTGCCAAAATGGACCGACTCGGACCGAAAGATCGAGTCGGGCCTAGATGTTTGGCCCGACAAAGACTCGTAACGGCCCGACTCGATAAAGTTAGGCCCGGAAAAAATGGCTCGACCGTCGGCCCGACTTGAAAACGGCAACCCCCACCTTACAACGATTGAAAAAAAATTTTAAAATTTGAATTAATATTTTAGGAATTAAAATTAATTCCTTCTGAATATTTATCTAACTCAAATAATGTCGAAAATTGTGGAAAAGATTTGACTAAAACAACACTTTCAATTCCAAACAAAGTTGTGGAAATTATTTCAGAAAAATTATTGGGTATAGAAAAAGAACGAGAATATAAAGATGCTAGTTGTTATCCTTGTATTGCTTCTGCTTCTGATAAAAATATTTTTGTTTATGAAATGGTAAGTTGGTTCTAATTATAAGAGAGTAGGGAGTAAAAATGTTTCAAAATGGTAAAAACGGGGAAATGTTTCAAAATGGTAAAAATCAAAAAATGTCTCAAAATGGTAAAACCTCAAAAAGTTTCAAAATGTCAAAACCTTGAAAATGGTTAAAATCGTCCTTTTTTCAAGTTGCCTCAACTTCGAAAAGAACTGGAAGATTTACGTTATCAATTGGCTCTTGAATCTGACTGTCCAGCCAACTCAGTTTACAGCAATACTGTTATTGAAGGACTTGTTAAAATTCGACCAACAAAGTATATTTTTAATTTATTTTTAAATTGAATTACTGACATTTTTTGCATACACGGGAACCTTTCGAACTTTCAGCAAAAATTTTTTTCATAAAAATCAAAGTTTTGGTTTAGTGGGAAATGAGGTTGTTTCCACTGTCAAAGGGTTGCAGGTTCGACCCCGCTCGTGGATAATGATTTTTATTTTGTTGTGAATAATGTAGAAAAATTTTAGAAAATATTTTTAGCGATAAATTGTTAATAAAAATTTTTTTCCAATGTCTGAAAATTTTTTTTAACATTTAAAAAAATTTTTTCTAGTGAGGCAACATTAGAGCTAGTTGAAGGCTTTCCTGAACAACGAAGAAAACAATTTTTAACTCCAATTACTCAACTTATTTCAAAGTTTTGTTCAGTGAATAATATTTCTACAGACTCTAAAGAGGCTGAAATTGAGGTTTTTTTAATTTAAAAAATTTTTTTTGAAATTTTTTATAAATTTGTAGTTTCCTGAAGATTTGGAATCCCTTAAAAATGGATTGACTTTAACGGAGAAAAGTTATTATCATGCTCATGTTCTTTATAATCGATCATTGGTTTGTTTAATTTTTTGATGGGTTTTGTTAAAATATTTTCAAAAAAATTTTTTTAACTTGAAGACAATTAGAGAGGGGATTCTCTTACATTTTTATTTTCGGTATTAATTAACTAACTTAAACTTGGAAGAGGGGTTTTCTGGAATTTTTCGAAATAAATTTTTGTTGAAAAATCTCTCTTGACCAGTGTGGAAACTAGTAACAAAATCTTTATTTGTAATGTGTCAGAATTTTAAAATTATTTTCTATGTCCGAGATGATCTGAAACTTGGAAAGGGGTCTATTTACGAGATACGAGGAAGAAAATAAGGCGTGTATAAAGGGCTAGTATGGACAAAGTTTTAAAATTTCTAATTTTAGGCTAATTATAAGTTCAGAGTTATTTTTGTCCCTTTCCAGGTTCCTGACATTTTTTGGGCGTGGAAAATTTTTTAAAAAACGTCGGCTTCATTTATATTTTTTAATTTAAATTTAGGAAGAAACTTCTTCATATATGAAAGCTACTTCAAGTACAGTTGCTAATCATCTTTCTACTGCAGCAAAACGTGGTTTACCTTTACATTTAAAAACGCTTGGAATAACTTTGGAATTAATTGAAATTGTTCATAATAAAATAAAGGAGAATGGAAGAGGTAAAAAAATTAAAAAATTTCTTTGGGATACCCCCCTTTTTTGAGTTTTTGTAAATTCTATAATTTTTAAGGGAGAATGTTTGTCTGGGGCTGTCTTGGAAATTTTTATACGAGCCACAATACATTAAATAAATTAGTTGGTTTATCCCATAGCTGTTCTGAAAGTTTGATTTTTGTGGGGGTTTTGTTTACGGTTTTGACTTTATGTGATCTTTTTAATATCAATTTTCTAGGAGTTTTTTTTGTTTCGGAACAAAAAAAAATTTTTTTGAGCTGTTCATAATTTAACAGTAAGGGCGTATCCGGGGAAAAGTGGCGACTTGGGTAAAAAAAATTTTTTTGAAGTTTTAGAAATTCTTTTCATTCGAAGGGAGGGGGGAGCTCTTATTACATTTTTTAATTTTTAAAATTTCTAAAAAAAATTTTTTTAAGACATAATTCGTCTAAAGCCTATAATGGAATTATTGCCTGAAAATCTTGTCGACTACAATCGTTTAAAAATAATATTTTCAATCTTGGAATATCAATATGGAATTGATACAAGTGAAAATGAAAATTTAAATTTGAATGAAGATTTAAAAAAAGGAGGGGAAGAAGAGGGTGAAGGAGTGAATGATGAAGAAAAAAAGGAGGAGGAGGAAGAAGATATAATTTCAATATCCTCATCCCCTAAAAAACGAAAATTACCTTTTTGGTTAAATTCGAAAAAAAGAAATGGGGGCAAAATTGATGAAGAAAATTATGTTTATAATACAGGGGCAACAACAACAACGAAAAGAAAAAATTTTAAACAAATTAAAATAAATAATTCAATATTTTCTTGAAAAGAGGGGAAATTTGTTTTGAATTTTTTGAGTAAAAAAAATTTTTTTTTGAAATTCTTATCACTTAAAAATAGGGTAGCACCCCGTGCTTTGGGGTCGGAAGTGTCCGGGATCGTGGTTTTGCCGGGGAAGGCATGTCGAGGTTGACTTTTGGTTCGGGGTCGGATGTCAGGGTTCTACCCTACTTAAAAACAATGTACGAGCTATTTTATTTATTTCAATTTCTTCTTTCATTCATAGGGTAGTTGGTTTGAATCTGTCCCGGACCGAGCATTCGAGAAAAATTCATTTTTTCAAAATTTTAATCCTTCGGTTCGGTTACGGATATCCGAAAATTTTTCTAAACCGACAACCCTAATCAATCATTTAAAAATTAACTGTAAAAAAGTTTTTTTTCGAATCTCTTGATTTTTTTTGATTTATTTTGGCAATATAAATTGACGAAAAAGACAATAAAAAAAATTTTTTTTTGTAAACATTATTATTTTTTTAATTTGTAAAATTTTTACGAAATTTCGAAAAGAAATTTATCTTTAAAATTTTAATTTTTTGAATTAAAAAAATTTTTTTAGAAAAATTTTGAAAAATGTCCCTAACTTCAACTTTATTAAAAAATTATTTTTCTCGCAATTTATTCAAAATTCAATCAAGACAATTAAATTTACAAGAATATCAAAGCAAAGAATTGCTACGTTCAAATGGCTGTGTTGTTCAAAATTTCTTTGTTTGTGAAAAAGAAGAGAAGGATTTGGATAAACTTTTTGATAAATATGGTTTGATTTTCTTAAAGGTTTTTTTAAAGATTTTAAAATTCGAAAGGAAAATATGACGAACGCGAAATTTCGTCTTAAATTTCGAAACACGAATTTTGCAATTAAAGACGAAATTTCGTTTTAAAATTTCGAATCCGAAATTTTGCGATTAAATTCGAAATTTTGGCTTAAATTTCGAAACTCGAAATTTCACAATCAAAGTCGAAATTTCGTATTTTCAAACTGAAAACTTTAAATTTTTAAACAATTTTAATTGTTAATTTTAGATTACAAGGAATATGTAGTTAAAGCTCAAATCCTCGCTGGAGGCCGTGGTAAAGGTCGCTTTATTAACAGTCAATTTAAACAAAGTGGTGTGTTTATTACTACAAGGTTTATTAAATTTAAAAAATAATTTGTAAAGGTTAAATTTTGTGGATTACAAAGTTTCAGTGTTTTTTAATTGAAAAAACTAGTTTCGATTTTGAGGGGTTCAGGGAAGGAGTTGAATCGGGTATAAGTGTCTGACTTTTTTTTATTTTTTTTGACTTCTCAATCAGGCCGTCCCAGGTTCGAATCAAGCTAATAATAAGCTAGAAAATCGGGAAAAAGTGTTTGAATCTTTTCATTACTAATGTGAAATCATTTAAAAAATTTGAATTAAATTTTTTTAGCCAAGAACAAGCAAAATTTTCAACACTTGATATGTTAGGAAGAAGATTGGTAACAAATCAAACTGGATCAGATGGTGTTTTAGTTAATCAAGTTTGTTTATTTTTTAATCAAAAATTAAAAATATTTTTGAAATTCGAAATGAAAATTTTTCGAAACTCGAAATTTCGTAAACACGAAATTTCGTAACTCGAAATTTTGTCATTCAAGTCGAAATTTTTTTCAAACTCTTATTTTTCAGGTTATGATAGCTGAATCAGTCCCTATTAAACGTGAAGCTTACCTTTCTATTCTTATGGATCCGTCTACTAGTGGACCGGTTAACTCTTCTTTATTTTAATTTTTAAGAAAAAATTTTCTTAGGTAGTTGTTGCCTGTCATATGGGAGGAGTGGATATTGAAAAAGTGGCAGAAAGAAATCCTGAATTAATATTAAAGGTAAATTTCAGGATTAGAAAACGATTTAAAAAAATTTATTTAGCTACCAATATGTATAAATAAGGGAATAACTAAAGAACAATGTGAACAAGTCGCAGAATGGTTATGCTTTGATAATGAAGCTGTTCCGTATGTAAGCTACATATTTTATTAAATTTATGAGAGGAGTCTAGGAAATAGTGTAGAAAAAGAGGAGAGCTTTTTAGACATTTTCCGGAAAACTTTCTGGAGGATTTTTACTGCAGAACGATTTTCTATAGCTACGTATTAATTAAATGTATGAGAGAGAAAACTTTAGGAAATAGTATAGTAAAAGAGGAGTTTTTCAGAATTTTTCGGAAAACATTTCCGGATGGTTTGTATTGCAAGAAGTTTGTCTATAGTCTTTTCCGGAATGGTTTTTATATTAAATATAGGAAGAGAAAGTTCAAGAAATAGTATGGAAAAAGAGGAGAGTCTATAAACATTCCGGAAAACTTTTTCCGGAACATCTTTATTACGAAAAACATTTTATTTGGCTACAGATTATTAAATATATGAGAGAGAAAATTTCATGTAGTATAGGAATAAAGAATTTATAACATTTCCGGAAAACCTTTCCGGAAGAATTCTATATAAGAAAACTGTCTATGCTCTTCTAAGGTTTTTCCTCTTCTTTTACTCTTTCACTATACAAAACATTTTATTCTTCATAACTTTCTTTCTCTCTCTTTATGTCCATCATTTTCTTAGTTTCTTTTCTCTCTTAAAACAGAACTATCTAATAAAACTTCTCTCATACCTATTTCTAACTTATTTTTCTTTTTTAAATTTATTTTTCATTTATATTTTGCTTTTCTCCTAAAAAATATCGCTTCTCGGCCTTTTGGCTAAGATCAAAGTGTAGTATCTGTTCTTTACGGCTTAATCTCCGTAACGATCCCTACCGGGATCAAAGAGATTAACCAATTTTTGGAAAAGGGTAAGAGTTGGAAGCTTGCTTCCTCTCTGCCGCGCGTCGGCCCGGTCTTGCACTTACCTCCGGGAACGGCGCATTCCTCCCTTATAGGGAGGATCAAAATCTGTCTTCTAAAAGTCCAAAAACTATGACCAACCAAGGAGGTCAACTCCCAAAAGGTCAGATTACCCTGGACCAAATATTTGAGCGGACGATTTTTGGATGTTAAGGGTGATATCGATGAATTTGGTCAGCTTAAGGTGGATTTGTTGGGATTAAGGTAGTTAAAGGACACCAAACAGAAGTTCTCTTATGGAACTGTCATATATGACAAAAGGGAGTATCACAAAGTATTCTTATCTTAAAGCTATCCCTACAAATATTTGGAGCTGACCTCCAAGTCCATTAGATCAATAGTCCATTAGACTTTCTTAGGTTGATCCCTTAAAAATAAATGAAAAATAATTGAATTAAATATAATTTTTAATTTTTTCTAGGCAGCAAAACAAATTCAGAAATTATACGAATTTTTTATTAAAGTGGATGCTACACAAATAGAAATTAATCCGTTTGCACAAATTGAGGATGGGAGAGGTTTTTATTTTTTTTGATTAATTTTAAAAATTTTTATTTTTTTTAAAGTTTATTGTATTGATGCCAAACTAATATTTGATGATAATGCCGCTTTTAGACAAAAAAATATTTTTGAATTGGATACAAATGAAGAAATGGTATTTTTTTTTGATTAATTAAAAGAAGTATTTTTTGGTTATCTCCCAACATTATCCCTTTTTTTTTCTTTTTTTTCTCCTCTAAAATGGTCAAATTCAAATAATGGCTAGTCAATAGGTCTATGCCGACTGACTTTTTAAATTATTTTGCGTACACCTCCAACTTACCGCGAGCCCAACTTACCGCAGAGCTATAACTTTGTTCAAAATGGTAACTTCGTTAAAAATGATATGTTTCGATTCAGCTCGGTGAGGCGCATCGAACCAACCAGGTGTCCCGGATCCGACAATTTTGAAGGAAATTATAGCTCTGCGGTAAGTTGGGCTCGTGGTAAGTTGGTCTGCTCCCATTTAATTTTTAATTATTTTTAAAGATTAAAGAAAGAAAAGTTAAATGAAGGAGATAACCGAAAAGTATCCAAAATTTTTTTGAATTTTTTTAGACTCAGAATGAAATTTTGGCCAAAAGATTCGGTTTAAGTTATATTCCAATGGATGGAAATATTGCTTGCATGGGTATTTTTTTTATTTTTTAACGATTTTATTGTCAATTAAAAAGTTAATGGAGCTGGTCTGGCAATGGCTACAATGGTATGATTAAATAAAATTTGTGGGTTTTTGTGCAGTTTAGTAGTTCGGAGATGTTTTAGTATCAGTTCATGGAGGTTTATGAGTAATCAGACTCGTGAGGGGAAGGGGCAAAAATTTGTTTCCAAAATGATTCCCTCCCGGAAAGTAATTAGTTTGTGATTCCGTTTTGAAAAGTAGAAATCGGAGGTGGCTGTCCGAGCGCAAACTTAGAAATCCAATGAAAAATTTCAATGAAAAATACTTTGTCCAAATTGAGTTTTGTGTTTTTATGGGATCACCCCAGAGTATCGACACCCAAAGTATCGAATGACCCAAAGTATCGAATGACCCAAAGTATCGAATTTTTTAAATTTCATAATTAAGTATTCCAATGATCGGGCATGATGTTCTAACATCGGGGAATTGTGTTTTCAATCGAACTGAGCATAGCGACCGAACAATATTCTACTTGGAGATCGATCACTCTTCTTTGATTGGACATATTGATCATGATCGATGTTTGATCCATTGTTGGAACAATTTCCCTATGTTAAAAAGACTTCCCCGTCCTTGGAATACTTAATTATGAAGTTTAAAAAATTCGATACTTTGGGTCATTCGATACTTTGGGTGTCGATACTCTGGGGTGGACTCGTTTTTATAACCATTTTGGACTCATAAACTTTTTTCTATTGGAAATAGACTTTCAAGTGACTCATAAACCTTCGTTGAAATACTAAACTGTATCAAAGCCTAAATTTAATTTTTTTTAATTTTAAAAATATTTTTAAGGACATTATAAAATTACATGGTGGTGTTCCAGCTAATTTCCTTGGTAATAATTTCAAAAAATTAAAAAAAATTTTTTTTTAAGATGTTGGAGGAAGTGCCACAGTAGAACAAGTTTCGAATGCTTTCAAAATTGTTGCTTCTTCTACTGATCAAAAAATCAAAGCTATTTTTGTTAATATATTTGCTGGAATTTTGAGATGTGATATTATTGCTGAAGGGGTTATTGCTGCTTGTAATGAACTTGAAAGTAATATACCTGTTGTTTTGAGGTTTTTTTTAATTTTTATGGGTTGGTGATTAAATTTTGGGGCTGGGAATAGGTAGGGATGTTAAATAAAAATAGAGGGGATTTTGAATTTTTTGTTGAAAATTTTTCGGTCTATTCTAACATTCTAAACATTTTTCGACCCATTTCGGGTTCTCAAACCTTTCTGCTAACCTTTTTGTGCATTCCCTTAAATATCACAAGGGTTGTCACGTTTAGAGAAAATAAATCGGGTATAACTCGGGATTGGGTTTTAGTACATTTCTCGGAACGAGTATCGAACTTTGGATAATCCGAAACATCCCTGACGTACATAAAAAGAGACATTTTTCGATTGACTGCCGAATAGTAAAAGATGGGGAAAAAAGTTGTGGATAAAAAGAGACCCCCCTCTCTTGACTGTCACAAATTTTTTAAAAAATCATTGATGGAAAAATTTAAGAAAGTTTTTAGACTTAAAGGAACTAATGTAGACAAAGCAAAATTAATGCTAAAAAATGCTTCTCAACTTAAAGTCAAATTTGAATTTTATGAATCATTTGAAGATGCTGCAAAGCGTGTTGTTGAAGTGGCTGGTGGAGGGGGGAATAATGAGCAGGTTAAAAATTTGAAGGAATATTGCGGTAGATAAATTGGAATTTTTTTTTGAAATTTTATTGTTGTTTAGGAATTTAAAAATTTATTGTTCAATTGTTTTTGAGTTACCGACCAATTAAAAATTTTTTTTTAATTTTTGCAGATGTCCGCAAAAATGTCCGTGCGGATGTCCGCAGATTTTTTTCGTGGCTTTTTCAAACAAAGATAGAATTTTTAACAAATTTTAATTTTTGCGAATGTCCACAAATTTTTTTCGAGCCTATTTTTAAGAAATGATGATATTCTAGAATTTTTTAGAAAATTTTAATTTTTGCGCACATCCGCAAATATTTTTTGCGGACATCCTAAATATTTTTGCATGTCTGCTAATAATAATGATATGAAACTGTGTAGTACAATTAATTTTGCAATAAATTAAAATTGTTTCCACTCTCTTAAATATTTAAGTCAATCAATAAATAAATAATTTATTTTGTTATCAATAAGCATCTCGCTTCTATTATATTTTAATAAGTCAATTTTAATTTTGTTTTTTTTCAATGTTGTTAAATTTGTTTAAAATAAAAAATTAACTATTATAATTTTTAAAAAAATTTTTTTGTTAAAAACATTTATTTTATTTTTTGTTTTTAAAAATTTTTTAATTTTTCAAAATCTTTTTAAGGGTTTTTAGTTTATGCGCCGCATTGTTGTTTCTTCTGGTTTTTTAAATTTAATTAAAAATTTTTTAAAAATAATTTTTAGTTTTTAATATGATGTTATCGAACTCTTCCAAACCCAAAATATTAATGACTGATTCAACTTTTAATTTGACTAAACTGAAGGAAATTGGGGATGTTGTTCAACACGGTTTTTTTTAATTTGAATTTCTTTAAATTAATTATTTTGGGGCCAGACATATAGGGACGGTCCAAGGGCGTATCCAGGGGGTCGGTTTCGGGGGGGGCTAACACTGGGTGGGCGCAAAAATTTTTGGCGTTTACCTTGGCGTTCCGGACGCAAATTTTTTTGCACATAAATTTTCATCTTTTCTGCGCCGCAGGCGAAAATTTTTTGGAATTTGGTGCCCAAGAAGCAAGATTTCTTCCTTTTTTAGCGCCGCAGGCGAAAATTTTGAGGATTTTGGAGCTCAAGAGGCCAGATTTCTTCCACTTTTTGCGCCGCAGGCGAAAATTTTTTAAAATTTGAGGGTTGTAGGCGAAAAAATTTCACTTTTTCGACCATCCTTCTCCTAATTTCTTCCCCCTATCCCCCATTTCGGGGGGGGGGCTCTAGCCCCCCCCAGCCCCCCCCTGGATACGCCCTTGGGACGGTCATGTCGGTATATTTCAATGTCAAACAATTATTTATACTGGTTCCACGACTATTGGTTTTTGAATGGTACATTGCAGAGGTGAATCGAAATTGCGAAAATTTGGGCTGATTTCCGAGTTCCGACTTTTGAGCCATTTCCGACAGTTCCGTTTTCCGGCACCTTCGTCATTTCCGATTCACCTCTGGTACATTGGTTTATTGAAAAAAATGTTTTTAATAAGCGGAAAATTATTTTTGTCACTACTTTCCTATTCTATCCGTCCCGATGTGTCCGTTTTTTCCTATTATTTTTTAAATTTCCTAATTCATAAAAATTTAAAAAAATTAAAAATTTGTATTTTTGACAGATTCTCCTGGTCAAATGCCTCGAACTTTATTGGAAGAAAAAATAGTTGATGTAGATGCTCTTTTTTGTTTAGTGAGGGATAAAATTGATAGTCAAATTTTAGAAAAAGGTTTTTTCCTTTTTTAATAAAAATAATTTTAAATTAATTTTTAGCTAAAAATTTAAAAATGATTGGGACAATGAGTGTAGGTTATGAACACATAAATTTGGAAGAGTGTAAACGAAAAGGAATACGTGTTGGGTATACTCCTGGTAATTTATATTTGTTTTTTTTTGGGAAAAATACAAGACCAGTTTAAGTCAGAATTTATAATTTCTATATGTTTTCCGGAAAATATAACAAATTAGAGTTATTTTCCGGAAGAGTTATTTTCACAGTTATTTTTTCATAAATAACTCTAATTCATTATTTTTTCCGGAAAATACAGAAATTATATAAATTGTTTTTCCGGAATGTGTTTTATAAATAAAATCAGAATTTTCCAGAGTATTTATAAATCAAATCAGAATATATAATCAGAAATTTAAATCAAAATAATAATCATTCTGATATTAAAATTCAGAATGTCGTCCGGAAATATCTCCCTTTGTTTAAAAATTAAATCAGAATTTATTTTTAGATGTTCTGACTGAAACAGGTAAATTAAATTTTAATTAAAATGAAACACATAAAAAATAATAATATATCAGAATTTTTTGTATTTTCCTTAATTTAAAAATCAGAATTTATTCCATTTAAATATTACCTGAATTTATTTTAAACTTATTTAAAACCAAAATAAAAATTATTTCAAACACCAAAATTAGTATTTTATTTTTTTTATTTTTTCTAGTCGCAGAACTTGGAATGGCGCTTCTCTTAGCAACAGCTAGAAGACGTAAAAAAATAAAAAAATTATTTTTCTTAATTAAAAAAATTTTTTTTAATTTAGTTCCTGAAGCAATAAATTCTGTTAAAAGGTTCGAAATCAATTTTTAAAAATCACAAAAAAAAATTTTTTTATTTTTAAAGTGGAGGTTGGAGAACATGGTCACCTTATTATATGTGTGGAAAATCTTTAGCTAATTCTGTTGTTGGAATTTATGGTTTGGGAAAAATCGGAACTAGTATAGCAAATAAAATACAACCTTTTATGCCTGAAAAGATTATTTATAATAATCGGAAAAAGAAGGAAGGTTTGTATTTTATTTTATAAAAAATCAGAATTTTTATGTATTTTCCGGATATTAAAATATTTTGTATTTTCCGGAATGTATTTTGAGGGAATTACGAAATTATAAATTATTTTTCCGGATGAATAAGAAAAGTAATTAGGTAGTTAAAACTGTAGTATTCCGTGGTGTAGTCGTTAGCGTTTTGGCCTAATGTTTTAATTGGCGTGGTTCGATCCCTTTTGCTGATTATAGTTTTTCCTTGGTTCTTGAATTTTTTTTTTAATTATTTTTCGAAAATTATTTAAAATAAATTATTTTTAAAAATTTCTTTATTTTCATTAAAAATTATTTTTTCTCAAGATTCTCCACACACTTTTGTTTCTTTCAACGATTTACTTGCTCAAAGTGATTTTCTTATAATTACAGCTACTCCATCACCAGAAAATACACGCATTTTTAATAAAAATAGTTTTAAATTAATGAAAAAGGATTCAATTTTAATTAATATTAGCAGGTAATTGAACTAAAAAAATTAATTTTTAATTTAAAAAATTTCATTTTTAGAGGTGTTTTGGTTAATCACAATGATTTGGCTGATGCTTTAACCTTAGGTTTAATTGGGGGTGCTGGATTGGATGTGACTGATCCTGAACCTTTTCCTTTGGAACACCCTCTACATAGTATGAATAATTGTGGTAGGGGTTTTAAATTTAATTTTAGAAAACCAGAATGTGTTTTGTGTGATTTTTTAATGTTCTGAAGTGTTTCCGGAATGTGTTTTTATTGTAAAAAGTATTTTAAAAATCAGAATTAAAGAAAATTTTATTCTGATTTAAAATAAAACGAGTGGGAGCTATAATTTGGGGAATTTCAAATCACGGAACAGACAGGTCACAGAACAGGCAGGTCACGGAATGACCAAAGACGGAACAGATAGGTCACGGAATTACCAAATCACTTATTGACCAAAACACAGAATATTTTAAAATTGGAATATTTTTAGAAATCAGAATTTTCAGAATTTTTTTAAGTTCTGCTTTTTTAAATATTCTAATTAAAAAAGACATTTTTTAAAAATATTCAGATTTTTCAAGAAATTCAGATTTTTAAAATGTTCCGTGAGTTGTCCTTTCTGCGAGTTGTCGTTCCGTGAGTTAGCCCAACACGGTATAAAACACAATTTATATTGTCAGAATTATTTCGATTTTCCGGAATATTAAAAATCAGAATTATTTTGCGAGAATTTATCTACCGTTTATATTAAAAAATCAGAATTTCCCTTCTAGTCATTCTGCCTCATATTGGCTCTGCTACATATGCAACAAGAAATTTAATGGCAGCTACAACAGAACAAAATATTATAAATTATTTTAAGGGTATTCCAATGGTTTCGGAATTGTTGTTTTAATTTAAGTGGATTTTTTAATTATAGAATTTTAAAAATATTTATTTTAGGGGATTTTTAAATTTTGTGTGGCCTTTATTTATTTTTTAAAAATTATAAAAATTCTAAAAAAATTAAAAAAAATTTTTTTGTGTTCTATTTTGTCGCTTGACATTTTTAAATATTTTTTAATTTTTCAAAAAATTTTTCTTAAAAATTTTTAAAATTTTTTTAGATTAAATATTTAAAATTCAAAAAGAATGGACGAAGCTTTAAAAAATATTATTAAAACTGGTGAGATGACTCAAGACGTAGCCCAATATTTATTTTTGCATGGAGGGATTTTGGTTTATTTTATTAGTTTAAATATTAATATTTTAAAGATTTTAAAAGACTTTCCCGAAGGAAGTGAATTTGGAATTGATTGTCGTTCGTGGACTGTTGGACGTAAATTTCTTGGAATTAAGGTTTGTTTTAGTTTTTAAATATCTTTTGAGTTTTAATTATGGGATTAATTCTTATAAGTATTATTGACCTCTTCGGTTCACAAAACTTTAATTTTTGAATCAAAAACGTTTTTTCCTAATCTATTCACAGTTGTTCACTGCCTTGAGAGATTTAAGGAACTCTCCTTAATTTTAATTTTATGATAATCTTTTATTCTAAAAAAGGAGATTTAGGGTTTGCTTCACCTTTTTTTAATTTTTGAAGCATTTTTGCTTCCGTTTAAAAAATTCTGTATTTTCTCAAATTCTTTTCTGTTATTATGGGGTTAGAAATTATTAAAGGAATCTGTTAAAAAATCCCACGCGGCAAAGGAATCGAAAATTAATTATCTTTAAAGTTATAAAAAATTTTTTCAATTTTTAGATGATTCCGCCAGGCATTCATTTTGTTTATATGAGGTTTTTTTATTTTTCTTTAATTTTTAAAAAAATTAAAATTTTTGTTTAAGTGTACCAGGAGCACCAAAAATTGCATTTTTCCACAATTTTGTTCTAAAAGAAATTGTTTTGAGGAAATGGGATAAGAAAAATGAAGATTTGTTTAATTGTGTTTCTGATGATGTTGAGGTTTTTTAATGTTTTTTATTCCTTAAAAAATTCTTTTTAAGTTGGAAAGGGTTAGAAGTAATTTAATGACTCTTGATTCACATTTGGGTGCTTATCCTTTTACAGGTTAGTTTTGCTTCATTTTTTTAATTTTTTTGAAACTTTTTTGCTTCAACTTTTACATTTTTAATTGCCTCTATTTTGGGGGTTTTTTAAAAAAATTTTTTAGAAAATAAAATTTTAAAAATGAAACAAAAACCCCCCAAAATAGAGGCAATTAAAAATTTAAAAGTTGAAGCAAAAAAGCTACTCGTGAACCATAACATGATTCATTCACTTTTGTGATTGCTTCATGCTTTTTTGCTTCAGTTTTTTGCTTCAACTTTTTAAAAAATTTTTTTGAACTGAAACTTTCGACTTGATTTATTAACCTTTCGTTTCTGCTAACGACTGGGGGTTTCCCCTAATTTTAGTTTTTTTTCAAAATTCTGTTTCATTTCCTAAAAGTAAATTTGAAGCAAAAGGATGGAAACATTTTTTGCTTCACTCATGTATTTTTGCTTCAATTATTTTTCTTATTTTTGCTTCAAAAAAAATTTTTTTAGACTACCAACTTTGGGCTTCTTTTTCAACCAATATTACGTCTAAAACACTCAAACGTTTATCACCTACAAATAAACTTGGAAGAATCTCATCACAAGTTGAAATGACTACTTTAGAAGCAGAAACTGAGAAACAACTGGTAATTTAATTATTTATTTTTTAATTAAAGTCAATTTTTAAATAAAACTATGAACATACGTTCGTGGCCTAATGGTTAGCGTGTTCGCATTTCCCCTATGGGGTTGAGGGTTCGATTCCTCTCGTTGCCCATCATTTTTTCTTTGATTCTTTAATTATTTTTTTGAATTAAAAACTTGTCTAAAATAATTTTTAAAAATTCCTAATAATTTTTAGAATGATCCTCTTGGACTTTCTATAGTTGATAAAGAACATAGAGGCCGAATTCGTTTTACTGATGAAAGTGGCCTTCCAGTTATGAACGCTAAAGACGATGATTCTAAACTTGGTTTTACAGAAATTCCGAAAATAACGGTTAATTTTTTAATTTTTTTATTTAAAAATTTTATTTAGCTCGCTGACACCTGTTTAAAAAAATCGGGAATAGATGCTTCTGATAGGTTTGAGAAATTTATTGAGGCAGCTGGGGATTCAAGAGAAGTGTTGGCGGAGCTCCAATTTGCCTTTGTTATTTTCATTATTGGAGAGGTCTGTTGATTTTTTAAAAATTTTTTTTTGAGTCCAGTTCCGATTTTTGGACGTCCTCCTACCAACTTTTCGATTTGACAAAATGTCGACTTTCAAAATGTCACATTTCAAAACGCCCATTTTCCAAAATTCCACCCAGTCAAAACGCCAAATGGCCAATATTTTATAAAAACATCAATTAAGGTCTACGAAGGCTTTGATCAATGGAAACGGATTATTCATTTACTTTGTAGCTGCAAATCAGCAATAGAAAAATCCCCTTCATTCTTCAATGATTTGTTGATGGTACTCCATTATCAAATGAAAATGGTGCCCGATAATTTCTTTGCCGAAACGTTTGGAAATAATTTTTTGGTTTCTACTCTCTCGCTTCTTTTTGCTAATATTGAAGGTTTTTTTTTAAATTTTTCAAAAAAGTCCGCAAATTTTGTCCGCAAGTTTGAATAAGATTTGCGGACAAAACTTGCGGACTTTTTGGGGGGAATTTTTTTCATGGAAAACTTTTTTTACAGATTGTAACGCACCTATTCCAAAGTTGAAGGCAAAGGCGTTAAAATTCAAGGATCTACTTGAGAGGCGTTTTAACAAGTCATTCACTTTACCCGATGAATAATCTGAATTTCTTAAAGAAAATATTTTTTGTTTTTCATTTTTAAAAATTTGTTTTATTTTCGAGATTAAATTTTAAAGTTAAATATTGCCTCGGGGCATCGATTAATACATGATTAAATAGACCGAAAATTAAATTACCCTGAGGGGCTTTTTTGTGAATTAATCAAATTTTTATGTCTAAACAATTTAAATTGCCTCAGGGCACAGCAAATATTTTCTGTAATAAATTTAAAAATAATTCTGAGCCCGCAGGGCATTTAAAATTTTATATCTCAACAACCTCAAATACATGCCCTTAGGCAATTTAATTTAAAAAATTTTTTTTAACTTTATTTTTATCAATAATTTATCTATAAAAAACAAAAAAAATGTTTAATTTTCAATATTCATTTATTATCTCGTTGTTGTTCCGAAGACGCCGAACGGGAACGCATAGCGCTACTCAGCTTCATCGAACATGTCGGGCAGTACCACCGGCCCTTTGGCGGCTAAAACCGTTTTGAAATTTAATTTCTTCAAATCCTTTCTCGACCTGTGTTATTCCGACGCATTCATAGTGAAACCATTCATATGGGCACTTTAAAATAAAAAATAAATTTGTGTAGTTTTTGTGTTAGGTTAATAAAAAACAGACGTTTTTACTGTCACATGCTACCATATTGCCTGCAGAACCCTGAAAAATTTGAGGAAAAAATTAATTTTGAAAGGGATATAAAGAGGTCCGAGTTGGGTGTGTCCCTTATAGCCTTCTAAAATATGCGTATCCTAAAGTTATGTTAAAGTTAAGAACATATTCCCTAACATTTTTTGGATTTTGACAAGGGGCCCGACCTCTGGGACACTAAAATAAGAAAAAAATTAATTTTTAAGTCGGTTTCGGTTTTTAAAAAAGTTTCGGTTTGCGTCCTTATAGTAAAGTTGAGGATGGGTTTTTCTTAACATTTTTTAGATTCGGAATATGAGATCAATCCTTGGGACCAAATTAAAGGTTATTCATATTAATTTTGGTTAGCCAATTAATTTTTAAAAATTTAAGAGAAAGTTTTACTGCCCAAATAGGACAACTTATTCCCAACCAAAAAATTTTTACACACACCTGTTTGCAATAACACCAAGCTCTATCATCCGTTTCCTCTTCGCCTTCTTCATCAGCCTCATCAAAAGATTCGTCTCCTTCATCTTCATCTGCCACTTCTCCACCACCACCTTCCTCTTCAACGTTGTCATCTTTTCCACCTCCTCCCCTTCTTTGACGTCTTCGAATTTTTTCTTGCTGTTGACGCTTTTATTAAAAAGGAAAGATTAAAAACAAATCTTTTTAAAAAAACAAACAATTAAAGCAGGTCCATGTTCTGGTGGTTTAGGCATTGATTCATTTAACATTTGTACTACTCTTTTGGTTAATCTAGTATTTAAATAAATCAGAAATTTAATTTTTTATTAAATGAGGGAACCAGAAATTTAAAAAAAACAGAAAAATATCAGAATTTCACACAGAAAAACCTGAAAAATCAGAATTATAATGAAAAATCAGAGCATTAATTAAAATCAGAATTTTCAAAAAAAAAAGTCAGAATCTCTCAAAAATCAGAATACTATTTTAATTAAAATAAGAATTTCTGAGAAATAAAAATACCAGAAATGCAAAAACCAGAATTTTCAAACTTGAGAAAATCAGAATTAAAAAACCAGATTTTAGTTAAAAAATCAGAATATTAATTAAAATCAGAATTTCTGAAAAATCAGAATCTCTCAAAAACCAGAATATCAGAAATAAAAATCAGAATATTTTAATTAGAATCAGAATTTCTGAAAAATCAGAATAACAGAGATGTAAAACCAAAATTTTCAGAAACATGAAAAAATCAGAATTTTGAAGGTCAGAATTCATTTTAAAAAAATCAGAAATCATTTAAAAAAACCCCTACTTTCTTTGCCTTCCATGACGGCTTGGTTGAGTTCCAGCAAACGAAGGCATTCTTAACAATCCTACAGATTGTTGTCTAGTTTGATGAGATGTTGAAGTAGTTGACGTTGTTGGGTGGTCTGGTTGAGAACTTTAAATATAAAAAAATTATTTTCTGATTAGGATTTTGGAAAAAATCAAAATTTAAAAAAATTCTGAAAAACCAGAATTTCTGAAATATCAGAATTCTTGAAAATCAGAATTTCTGAAAAAAATTCTGAAATATCAGGATTTCTGAAAAAACAGAATTCTGAAAAAAACATCAGAATTACCTAGTTGATTGTTTAAATGCAGCATTCCAACGTTCCATAGAGGCTAAACGAGATGGAGGGAATTGAAATTTAGATAATGCATGGGGTAATATTGTTGTAGAGGTTGATGGGGAAGTTGAACGAGGGGATATTGAAGAAATTGAGCTACGAGGGGAACATTCACCTTTTTTTTAAATTTAAAATCAGTATTTTGGAAAATCAGAAATTTTTTTAATTTACGAGAACGTTTAGAAACAGCAATATTTGTTGTAGTTATTGTTGTTGTTGCTTCCGTATTTGAAGTTGAAGCACCCAATTGCCGCAAATTTGGAACTGATGTTTTGTGCTTCTTAAAAAGGTTATTTATTAAAAAAAATAATTTAACAATTAGATAGATAGAAGGGAAGCCCTTTTTTAAGAGACTGGAAAATTGTCTTAATAAGGGTAATCGGGGGTATCAATTATTTATTTGTTGTTAGAAGGCTCTTACATATCATTCCACAACAAGGCTTCCCCTTTTCCTGTCTATTGGGGATAACCAAAAGTTCTTTGGATAGTTGGAATCAAACCAAAAAATTTCGGTTCTTCGGTTCGGTTTCGAACCGACAACCATAGTTAGGAGTACTTCTGCGAGTATATTAATTTTATAACTAGAGCCCGGATTTTTATGCATTAAAAAATGCATTATATGCAAATAGAAACCCCCTCTAAAGTTTTCAAAACTTGCGGAAACAGTGTTTTTTGTGCATTACACATCATGAAAAGTTTGCAAAAAAAATATGCATTTGCATAAAAATCCGGGCTCTATTTATAACATGTCCGTTTGGAACAAGTAGACGACAAAGGTCTGGAGCAAACAAATTCATTTACGCAAATTTTTTGGCTACCCCCATTGTTTTTATAATAAGGACAGACTTATAAAAACGTCTTTAAAAAAATAAAAAAATTCCTCAAAAACCTTAACAGGAGGGGAGGATGTAGACACTTCATTATCAAAAATATCATCATCCTGTAAACGTCCAGGTATTCCTGCTGTATTTATTGTTGTTGTTGTCGTTGTAGAAGGACGACTATCCACAGATTGGGAAGGACGGCGCTTCAAGAAAAAAATTTTTTTTTAATTTTTTTAAAAATTTCTTACAAAATTTGCGGGTATTTTAAAATCTTCATAGGCAGTAGTTGTTGTTGTTTGTTGCTTTATTCTTGGAATATTTACATTTTTGGGTGTAACATCTATTATATCATTGCTAAAAAATATATTTTTTAAAAATAAATTAATTTGGGTAATTTTTAGTTATTTTTCTGAAATGACTCATAATGGTCAGACTTACTAGTTAGTCAATTTCACTCAATTTTCTTAAGCAATTCAGTCATTTAAATGAAAAAATTGAGAAAAATTTTTTAGTTTTTATTTTTTTCGAAAAGGCTCATAATGGTCAAAACAGTCAGAATCTCGCCCTTCTCATAATTTCACTTAATTACCCTATAAAATTCAGTCTTTATCAAAGGAATAGGTAAATTGACTGAAATCAAAAAATGAGAGAAAGTTTGGCCATTATGAGTCTTTTGAGAAGAATTTTTTTAAACTCTTTATAAAGTTTAATTTTTTTAGAAAAGGCTCATAAAGGTCAGAATTTCAGCGTTCCCACAATTTCACTTTATTACCCAACAAAATTCAGTCACTTAACAAAGGAATGAGGGAAATTGACTGAAATTAAAGAAGAGAAACTTTGACCATTATGAGTCTTTTGAGGAAATTTTTTAAAATCTTTATAAAATTTTTTCCAAACCCATTTAAATGTGTATTAGGACTATTAGTAGATTGTTGTTGCCCTTCAATTTGTAAATTATGAACAGTATCACAAGACAAAGAAGAATCTTCATCAAAAAATATTAAATTTGAAGATGTTGTTGTCGTTGAATTTATTATATTTGAAGCTGTTGGTGGTTGTTGTGGATTTGTAATTGATTGAATAAATGCTTCAAAAAATTAAATTTAATTAAAAATTAATCATTTTTCCAAGGATCATCGTTTACTCTCACCGAGAATTTGATATATTTCTGGTAGCATTCAAAAGGAATTTGAGGTTCACTATCCAAATAATATCAAAAATACCTACTATGTATAGCAGGGCTTCGATTTCTGCGGATTTTTCCTCATTTTGTGGTTTTTTGATATGGCGATGAGGATTATTTTTTAAAATGCGGATTTGCGGATTTTTGTGGTCTTTTGAAGAATATGAGGATTTTTTAAATTTTCTTGTAGTTTTTAGGATAAAATGTCATTTTTTTCTCTTAAGGTCTTCAAAAATCCTCAAAATTTTCGCCTGCGGCGCAGAAAAGGACGATTTTTAGCTTAAGGATATCCAAAATTCAAAAAATTTTCGCCTGCGGCGCTGAAAATGGAAGAAAGCTGGCTTCTTTGACTTGAAAAATTTCCAAAATTTCCGCATGCGGCGCTTAAAAAGGACGATTTTGGCTTCTTGGCCTTCATAAATCCGCAAAATTTTCGCCTGCGGCGCAAAAAAAATAAGATTTTTCCAGTAAACAATTCACTACAACAAGGGACGGTGAAAGCATTGGCTCAAGTCAACTGTAATTTTTCATTTAATTGTCCGGATTTAAATAAGATAGTCATTAGTAGTGAAAAACTGCTCAATTCAATTGTTGGAGTCAAAAAATATAACGCATAAAGTGATTTTAATTAAATTTTTGTGTTTGATAATTTTTTGCGGATTTTTCATATAAAATGCGGATTTTTTCGATCGAAATTGCGGATTTTTAAAAATTCGAGATCGAAGCCCTGATGTATAGCCTAAAATTGCGGCCATAAAAAATATAGTAAACGATGACCTTTGAAAATAAATGGGTTATTGGAAATTTAAATTCCCGTCCTGAACCATGGAATATTCAAAAAGTTTACAAAAAAATTTTTTGTTTTTGAATAAAAATTTTTTAGTTTTAAGAGTAATCTCCGCAAAAATATGTCCGCAATTTGCGTCCAATATTTTTTAGGAAAAATTTTGGAAAAAAACTAAAATATTAAAAAAAACCCCAATTTTATGGCCTTATAAAATCATTAAAATCCCCAAAAATTTTCAAAAATTACAACCTTTTTCAATTAACTCAACTTCTCCAGGATTTTCAATTTCCAATTCTGTTTTAAAATCAGTCAAGTCTTTAACAACTTTTTCGTTATATTTTTCAAGCACAGACTGTAAATATTCTGTTATATGTACTTTTGAATCTGCAATTAGTTGAGCCTCGTTATAACGCTGAAAATTGGAGAAAATTCAAAAAAATTAATATTTGCGGACGCAAAAAATTTTTGCGGACAAATTGAAAATTTTTGCGGACAAATTGAAAATTTTTGCGGATAAAATTAAATTTTAAGAAAAATTTTTTTCTAAAGATATTTAAGGAATATCCTTTTAAAAATAAGAATAAAATAGCAGAAATCCCCCCAAAAATAAAATTATCAAGTCGGAAAACTTTTTTTTTGCAAAAATCCGCAAACCCCAAAAATTGTCCGCAAATTTAATTTAAAAAAATTAATTTTAAACAAAAATTTAAAAACAAAAAAAACCTGTTCCAATTCTTTATTTTTCTTTTCAGACTCTGTAGCAGTTAGAGTAGGATATGCTTCAATTAGTTGTTCTGAATCAACACCCAATTTTTCCATTTTTGCTGAAATTTAAAGCAGTTAAAAAAATTTTCTATCAAAATTTCAACAAAAATGTTGCTTGAAAATCTCTTAAACTTGATTTTATTAAATAAAATACGACTAGGCATTGAACCCGTAACTTGGAATATAAACAAACCAAAAAAAATTTTTTATAAAATAAACAAAAAATGGCATCGAACCAATGACTTAACTTAAAAAATAAATCAATCAACTTAAGCCAAAATTTAACTCAAATAAACACACTAATCAAAACATATCAACCTTATCGAGAGGATTTTGAATAAATTTTTTTCTTCAAGTTTTAATTTTCTCTGAAATTTACCCGACAAAAAAATTATTCAAAAATTTCTAAAAATTAAATTTAAAATAAAAACCTTGATATTGACAATCAAGTTCTCTCAATTCTGCACATTTCTTTTTCATTTCAGCTGGAAGGAAGCCCAATACTAAAAATTAAAACATTAAAAATAAAAAAAAAATAAAAAATACATTCAACCAAATCTTCCAAATAATGCATTAATATGCTGAAAACTTGATAAAAATGCTTCCAAAAAAATTAAAAATTAATCTTAAATAAATTTTAAAAAATAAAAAAAATTAAAGGACAAATTAACCAAAAAAAAAATAAAAAAATTTTTTTACTCAAAAAAAATTTATTTTTTATTTTTTACATTAAAAATACTAAACAACACAACTCAATAAATTTTCCCTATAAACAAGGATGGATCGGGCCATCTGAAACCCGGCCTTTTTTTCCCGACCCAAAATCCGGTCCGAAGAAAATTGTTACCAATAGAGATCGGCACCAACCTCTCCCCGTCCATGATCGGCACAGGACAGGATCCCGCACAGGATTTTTCAGGATCCTGTCCAAAATCCTGCCTTTTTTGAGTTTTCAGGATGTCGGGATTTTCAGGATTAATCCTGCAAGATCCTGTCCTGCTCGAAATTTTAAAACCCAATCCTGATACAGGATCCTGCAAATGCCAACCCGAAACCCGATCCAAAGAAAATTTTCTCAGACCGATCCGATACCCGGCATTTTTCTCAGTCAGCCCGACCCATCCCTGCCCTAATTAATCCACAAAAAATATTTTAAATCAACTTTCTTTCTAATTTTTTTCAACGGCTACTTTCATTAAAAGGATGACGAGCATTATCCTCCTCAGCATTATTTTTACCTTCTTCAGCCGGTTCAAAAGAATAATTCAAAATTGGATAATCTCGAGGATCTTGGTGAGGAAATGCACGTAAAAAGTCGTAAGGGTATTGCTTTGGAAACTGAAAGAAAAAAATTTTTTTGATGGAATTTACTTAAAAATGACTGACCCCTCCCCGTAAAATCGGTTAAGGACGATTCAGTATCGCCGATTCAGTATCCGCCGATTCAGTATATGGCCATAACTTTCCTGATATTCGACCGATTTGAATAATTCTCATATCATTCAAAAGGTCTCGTGATTCCACATCTTTTTCATAATTGGCCCGATCTGATCTGATGATCACAAAAAAAGTTACAGCGTGAAAACCGATTTTTTATGCCTGTGACGTCGTTTATCAGTGATAACTTTTTGTAGAGTGATCAGATCAGGTCAGTCCAATTATGAAAAAGATGCAGCACCCCGAGGCCTATCAAATAATATTTAAAAATTTCTAAAATATTGATCGAGCAAAAAGTTATGGCCAAAAAGCCCAAATACTGAATCGGCCAATACTGAATCGGCGATACTGAATTGGCGATACTGAATCGTCCTCTACCCCCGTAAAATAGGAAATAACTACTTAATAAGATGAGTCCGGACCGATATTCGATATTTTTATATCGAATATAGACCAACCCCTCCCCATCCAGGCTCTATTAATAATAAGAAAAATTTTTATTTTTAAAAATCGTTATGAAAAATTGAAAAAGGAATGTAGAGGAAAGGAGTATGTGTAAAAACAAAAAAACCTGAGATCTGAAAATATGGATTAACAATAAAGGTTTTTCACAATAAACTATTTAGATAGACGTGTAAAATCGTCTAACAAGGGAACCGCTCAACTGCTCCAAAAGTCGAAAACTTTGGACCCCTATAACTTTTCGAAATGGGGGTCAGGGCCAAAAAAGAAACCTACTATATTATGTTTTCTACCCTGCTCTACACGATGGTACAAAAATAAATTCAAAATTTTTACATACAGTTCGGGATGCTAAACAATTTTTACCTTATAAGAGGAAAATATTTGAAAAAATTGTAAAAAAAAAAAAAAGGACAAATTAACCAAAAAAATAAAAAATAAATTTTTTTTGAGTAAAAAAATTTTTTTATTTTTTTTTTGGTTAATTTGTCCTTTAATTTTTTTTATTTTTTAAAATTTATTTAAGATTAATTTTTAATTTTTTTGGAAGCATTTTTATCAAGTTTTCAGCATATTAATGCATTATTTGGAAGATTTGGTTGAATGTATTTTTTATTTTTTTTTTATTTTTAATGTTTTAATTTTTAGTATTGGGCTTCCTTCCAGCTGAAATGAAAAAGAAATGTGCAGAATTGAGAGAACTTGATTGTCAATATCAAGGTTTTTATTTTAAATTTAATTTTTAGAAATTTTTGAATAATTTTTTTGTCGGGTAAATTTCAGAGAAAATTAAAACTTGAAGAAAAAAATTTATTCAAAATCCTCTCGATAAGGTTGATATGTTTTGATTAGTGTGTTTATTTGAGTTAAATTTTGGCTTAAGTTGATTGATTTATTTTTTAAGTTAAGTCATTGGTTCGATGCCATTTTTTGTTTATTTTATAAAAAATTTTTTTTGGTTTGTTTATATTCCAAGTTACGGGTTCAATGCCTAGTCGTATTTTATTTAATAAAATCAAGTTTAAGAGATTTTCAAGCAACATTTTTGTTGAAATTTTGATAGAAAATTTTTTTAACTGCTTTAAATTTCAGCAAAAATGGAAAAATTGGGTGTTGATTCAGAACAACTAATTGAAGCATATCCTACTCTAACTGCTACAGAGTCTGAAAAGAAAAATAAAGAATTGGAACAGGTTTTTTTTGTTTTTAAATTTTTGTTTAAAATTAATTTTTTTAAATTAAATTTGCGGACAATTTTTGGGGTTTGCGGATTTTTGCAAAAAAAAAGTTTTCCGACTTGATAATTTTATTTTTGGGGGGATTTCTGCTATTTTATTCTTATTTTTAAAAGGATATTCCTTAAATATCTTTAGAAAAAAATTTTTCTTAAAATTTAATTTTATCCGCAAAAATTTTCAATTTGTCCGCAAAAATTTTCAATTTGTCCGCAAAAATTTTTTGCGTCCGCAAATATTAATTTTTTTGAATTTTCTCCAATTTTCAGCGTTATAACGAGGCTCAACTAATTGCAGATTCAAAAGTACATATAACAGAATATTTACAGTCTGTGCTTGAAAAATATAACGAAAAAGTTGTTAAAGACTTGACTGATTTTAAAACAGAATTGGAAATTGAAAATCCTGGAGAAGTTGAGTTAATTGAAAAAGGTTGTAATTTTTGAAAATTTTTGGGGATTTTAATGATTTTATAAGGCCATAAAATTGGGGTTTTTTTTAATATTTTAGTTTTTTTCCAAAATTTTTCCTAAAAAATATTGGACGCAAATTGCGGACATATTTTTGCGGAGATTACTCTTAAAACTAAAAAATTTTTATTCAAAAACAAAAAATTTTTTTGTAAACTTTTTGAATATTCCATGGTTCAGGACGGGAATTTAAATTTCCAATAACCCATTTATTTTCAAAGGTCATCGTTTACTATATTTTTTATGGCCGCAATTTTAGGCTATACATCAGGGCTTCGATCTCGAATTTTTAAAAATCCGCAATTTCGATCGAAAAAATCCGCATTTTATATGAAAAATCCGCAAAAAATTATCAAACACAAAAATTTAATTAAAATCACTTTATGCGTTATATTTTTTGACTCTTCAAAAATCCTCAAAATTTGACGTTTATCAGTGATAACTTTTTGTAGAGTGATCAGATCAGGTCAGTCCAATTATGAAAAAGATGCAGCACCCCGAGGCCTATCAAATAATATTTAAAAATTTCTAAAATATTGATCGAGCAAAAAGTTATGGCCAAAAAGCCCAAATACTGAATCGGCCAATACTGAATCGGCGATACTGAATTGGCGATACTGAATCGTCCTCTACCCCCGTAAAATAGGAAATAACTACTTAATAAGATGAGTCCGGACCGATATTCGATATTTTTATATCGAATATAGACCAACCCCTCCCCATCCAGGCTCTATTAATAATAAGAAAAATTTTTATTTTTAAAAATCGTTATGAAAAATTGAAAAAGGAATGTAGAGGAAAGGAGTATGTGTAAAAACAAAAAAACCTGAGATCTGAAAATATGGATTAACAATAAAGGTTTTTCACAATAAACTATTTAGATAGACGTGTAAAATCGTCTAACAAGGGAACCGCTCAACTGCTCCAAAAGTCGAAAACTTTGGACCCCTATAACTTTTCGAAATGGGGGTCAGGGCCAAAAAAGAAACCTACTATATTATGTTTTCTACCCTGCTCTACACGATGGTACAAAAATAAATTCAAAATTTTTACATACAGTTCGGGATGCTAAACAATTTTTACCTTATAAGAGGAAAATATTTGAAAAAATTGTAAAAAAAAAAAAAAGGACAAATTAACCAAAAAAATAAAAAATAAATTTTTTTTGAGTAAAAAAATTTTTTTATTTTTTTTTTGGTTAATTTGTCCTTTAATTTTTTTTATTTTTTAAAATTTATTTAAGATTAATTTTTAATTTTTTTGGAAGCATTTTTATCAAGTTTTCAGCATATTAATGCATTATTTGGAAGATTTGGTTGAATGTATTTTTTATTTTTTTTTTATTTTTAATGTTTTAATTTTTAGTATTGGGCTTCCTTCCAGCTGAAATGAAAAAGAAATGTGCAGAATTGAGAGAACTTGATTGTCAATATCAAGGTTTTTATTTTAAATTTAATTTTTAGAAATTTTTGAATAATTTTTTTGTCGGGTAAATTTCAGAGAAAATTAAAACTTGAAGAAAAAAATTTATTCAAAATCCTCTCGATAAGGTTGATATGTTTTGATTAGTGTGTTTATTTGAGTTAAATTTTGGCTTAAGTTGATTGATTTATTTTTTAAGTTAAGTCATTGGTTCGATGCCATTTTTTGTTTATTTTATAAAAAATTTTTTTTGGTTTGTTTATATTCCAAGTTACGGGTTCAATGCCTAGTCGTATTTTATTTAATAAAATCAAGTTTAAGAGATTTTCAAGCAACATTTTTGTTGAAATTTTGATAGAAAATTTTTTTAACTGCTTTAAATTTCAGCAAAAATGGAAAAATTGGGTGTTGATTCAGAACAACTAATTGAAGCATATCCTACTCTAACTGCTACAGAGTCTGAAAAGAAAAATAAAGAATTGGAACAGGTTTTTTTTGTTTTTAAATTTTTGTTTAAAATTAATTTTTTTAAATTAAATTTGCGGACAATTTTTGGGGTTTGCGGATTTTTGCAAAAAAAAAGTTTTCCGACTTGATAATTTTATTTTTGGGGGGATTTCTGCTATTTTATTCTTATTTTTAAAAGGATATTCCTTAAATATCTTTAGAAAAAAATTTTTCTTAAAATTTAATTTTATCCGCAAAAATTTTCAATTTGTCCGCAAAAATTTTCAATTTGTCCGCAAAAATTTTTTGCGTCCGCAAATATTAATTTTTTTGAATTTTCTCCAATTTTCAGCGTTATAACGAGGCTCAACTAATTGCAGATTCAAAAGTACATATAACAGAATATTTACAGTCTGTGCTTGAAAAATATAACGAAAAAGTTGTTAAAGACTTGACTGATTTTAAAACAGAATTGGAAATTGAAAATCCTGGAGAAGTTGAGTTAATTGAAAAAGGTTGTAATTTTTGAAAATTTTTGGGGATTTTAATGATTTTATAAGGCCATAAAATTGGGGTTTTTTTTAATATTTTAGTTTTTTTCCAAAATTTTTCCTAAAAAATATTGGACGCAAATTGCGGACATATTTTTGCGGAGATTACTCTTAAAACTAAAAAATTTTTATTCAAAAACAAAAAATTTTTTTGTAAACTTTTTGAATATTCCATGGTTCAGGACGGGAATTTAAATTTCCAATAACCCATTTATTTTCAAAGGTCATCGTTTACTATATTTTTTATGGCCGCAATTTTAGGCTATACATCAGGGCTTCGATCTCGAATTTTTAAAAATCCGCAATTTCGATCGAAAAAATCCGCATTTTATATGAAAAATCCGCAAAAAATTATCAAACACAAAAATTTAATTAAAATCACTTTATGCGTTATATTTTTTGACTCCAACAATTGAATTGAGCAGTTTTTCACTACTAATGACTATCTTATTTAAATCCGGACAATTAAATGAAAAATTACAGTTGACTTGAGCCAATGCTTTCACCGTCCCTTGTTGTAGTGAATTGTTTACTGGAAAAATCTTATTTTTTTTGCGCCGCAGGCGAAAATTTTGCGGATTTATGAAGGCCAAGAAGCCAAAATCGTCCTTTTTAAGCGCCGCATGCGGAAATTTTGGAAATTTTTCAAGTCAAAGAAGCCAGCTTTCTTCCATTTTCAGCGCCGCAGGCGAAAATTTTTTGAATTTTGGATATCCTTAAGCTAAAAATCGTCCTTTTCTGCGCCGCAGGCGAAAATTTTGAGGATTTTTGAAGACCTTAAGAGAAAAAAATGACATTTTATCCTAAAAACTACAAGAAAATTTAAAAAATCCTCATATTCTTCAAAAGACCACAAAAATCCGCAAATCCGCATTTTAAAAAATAATCCTCATCGCCATATCAAAAAACCACAAAATGAGGAAAAATCCGCAGAAATCGAAGCCCTGCTATACATAGTAGGTATTTTTGATATTATTTGGATAGTGAACCTCAAATTCCTTTTGAATGCTACCAGAAATATATCAAATTCTCGGTGAGAGTAAACGATGATCCTTGGAAAAATGATTAATTTTTAATTAAATTTAATTTTTTGAAGCATTTATTCAATCAATTACAAATCCACAACAACCACCAACAGCTTCAAATATAATAAATTCAACGACAACAACATCTTCAAATTTAATATTTTTTGATGAAGATTCTTCTTTGTCTTGTGATACTGTTCATAATTTACAAATTGAAGGGCAACAACAATCTACTAATAGTCCTAATACACATTTAAATGGGTTTGGAAAAAATTTTATAAAGATTTTAAAAAATTTCCTCAAAAGACTCATAATGGTCAAAGTTTCTCTTCTTTAATTTCAGTCAATTTCCCTCATTCCTTTGTTAAGTGACTGAATTTTGTTGGGTAATAAAGTGAAATTGTGGGAACGCTGAAATTCTGACCTTTATGAGCCTTTTCTAAAAAAATTAAACTTTATAAAGAGTTTAAAAAAATTCTTCTCAAAAGACTCATAATGGCCAAACTTTCTCTCATTTTTTGATTTCAGTCAATTTACCTATTCCTTTGATAAAGACTGAATTTTATAGGGTAATTAAGTGAAATTATGAGAAGGGCGAGATTCTGACTGTTTTGACCATTATGAGCCTTTTCGAAAAAAATAAAAACTAAAAAATTTTTCTCAATTTTTTCATTTAAATGACTGAATTGCTTAAGAAAATTGAGTGAAATTGACTAACTAGTAAGTCTGACCATTATGAGTCATTTCAGAAAAATAACTAAAAATTACCCAAATTAATTTATTTTTAAAAAATATATTTTTTAGCAATGATATAATAGATGTTACACCCAAAAATGTAAATATTCCAAGAATAAAGCAACAAACAACAACAACTACTGCCTATGAAGATTTTAAAATACCCGCAAATTTTGTAAGAAATTTTTAAAAAAATTAAAAAAAAATTTTTTTCTTGAAGCGCCGTCCTTCCCAATCTGTGGATAGTCGTCCTTCTACAACGACAACAACAACAATAAATACAGCAGGAATACCTGGACGTTTACAGGATGATGATATTTTTGATAATGAATTTTGATAATGAAGTATCTGTCAATTTTACAAAATTTTTTTATTTTTTCCATTAAATTATTGAATGCCTTAGGAAAATCGAGTGAAATTGACAGATACTTCATTATCAAAATTCATTATCAAAAATATCATCATCCTGTAAACGTCCAGGTATTCCTGCTGTATTTATTGTTGTTGTTGTCGTTGTAGAAGGACGACTATCCACAGATTGGGAAGGACGGCGCTTCAAGAAAAAAATTTTTTTTTAATTTTTTTAAAAATTTCTTACAAAATTTGCGGGTATTTTAAAATCTTCATAGGCAGTAGTTGTTGTTGTTTGTTGCTTTATTCTTGGAATATTTACATTTTTGGGTGTAACATCTATTATATCATTGCTAAAAAATATATTTTTTAAAAATAAATTAATTTGGGTAATTTTTAGTTATTTTTCTGAAATGACTCATAATGGTCAGACTTACTAGTTAGTCAATTTCACTCAATTTTCTTAAGCAATTCAGTCATTTAAATGAAAAAATTGAGAAAAATTTTTTAGTTTTTATTTTTTTCGAAAAGGCTCATAATGGTCAAAACAGTCAGAATCTCGCCCTTCTCATAATTTCACTTAATTACCCTATAAAATTCAGTCTTTATCAAAGGAATAGGTAAATTGACTGAAATCAAAAAATGAGAGAAAGTTTGGCCATTATGAGTCTTTTGAGAAGAATTTTTTTAAACTCTTTATAAAGTTTAATTTTTTTAGAAAAGGCTCATAAAGGTCAGAATTTCAGCGTTCCCACAATTTCACTTTATTACCCAACAAAATTCAGTCACTTAACAAAGGAATGAGGGAAATTGACTGAAATTAAAGAAGAGAAACTTTGACCATTATGAGTCTTTTGAGGAAATTTTTTAAAATCTTTATAAAATTTTTTCCAAACCCATTTAAATGTGTATTAGGACTATTAGTAGATTGTTGTTGCCCTTCAATTTGTAAATTATGAACAGTATCACAAGACAAAGAAGAATCTTCATCAAAAAATATTAAATTTGAAGATGTTGTTGTCGTTGAATTTATTATATTTGAAGCTGTTGGTGGTTGTTGTGGATTTGTAATTGATTGAATAAATGCTTCAAAAAATTAAATTTAATTAAAAATTAATCATTTTTCCAAGGATCATCGTTTACTCTCACCGAGAATTTGATATATTTCTGGTAGCATTCAAAAGGAATTTGAGGTTCACTATCCAAATAATATCAAAAATACCTACTATGTATAGCAGGGCTTCGATTTCTGCGGATTTTTCCTCATTTTGTGGTTTTTTGATATGGCGATGAGGATTATTTTTTAAAATGCGGATTTGCGGATTTTTGTGGTCTTTTGAAGAATATGAGGATTTTTTAAATTTTCTTGTAGTTTTTAGGATAAAATGTCATTTTTTTCTCTTAAGGTCTTCAAAAATCCTCAAAATTTTCGCCTGCGGCGCAGAAAAGGACGATTTTTAGCTTAAGGATATCCAAAATTCAAAAAATTTTCGCCTGCGGCGCTGAAAATGGAAGAAAGCTGGCTTCTTTGACTTGAAAAATTTCCAAAATTTCCGCATGCGGCGCTTAAAAAGGACGATTTTGGCTTCTTGGCCTTCATAAATCCGCAAAATTTTCGCCTGCGGCGCAAAAAAAATAAGATTTTTCCAGTAAACAATTCACTACAACAAGGGACGGTGAAAGCATTGGCTCAAGTCAACTGTAATTTTTCATTTAATTGTCCGGATTTAAATAAGATAGTCATTAGTAGTGAAAAACTGCTCAATTCAATTGTTGGAGTCAAAAAATATAACGCATAAAGTGATTTTAATTAAATTTTTGTGTTTGATAATTTTTTGCGGATTTTTCATATAAAATGCGGATTTTTTCGATCGAAATTGCGGATTTTTAAAAATTCGAGATCGAAGCCCTGATGTATAGCCTAAAATTGCGGCCATAAAAAATATAGTAAACGATGACCTTTGAAAATAAATGGGTTATTGGAAATTTAAATTCCCGTCCTGAACCATGGAATATTCAAAAAGTTTACAAAAAAATTTTTTGTTTTTGAATAAAAATTTTTTAGTTTTAAGAGTAATCTCCGCAAAAATATGTCCGCAATTTGCGTCCAATATTTTTTAGGAAAAATTTTGGAAAAAAACTAAAATATTAAAAAAAACCCCAATTTTATGGCCTTATAAAATCATTAAAATCCCCAAAAATTTTCAAAAATTACAACCTTTTTCAATTAACTCAACTTCTCCAGGATTTTCAATTTCCAATTCTGTTTTAAAATCAGTCAAGTCTTTAACAACTTTTTCGTTATATTTTTCAAGCACAGACTGTAAATATTCTGTTATATGTACTTTTGAATCTGCAATTAGTTGAGCCTCGTTATAACGCTGAAAATTGGAGAAAATTCAAAAAAATTAATATTTGCGGACGCAAAAAATTTTTGCGGACAAATTGAAAATTTTTGCGGACAAATTGAAAATTTTTGCGGATAAAATTAAATTTTAAGAAAAATTTTTTTCTAAAGATATTTAAGGAATATCCTTTTAAAAATAAGAATAAAATAGCAGAAATCCCCCCAAAAATAAAATTATCAAGTCGGAAAACTTTTTTTTTGCAAAAATCCGCAAACCCCAAAAATTGTCCGCAAATTTAATTTAAAAAAATTAATTTTAAACAAAAATTTAAAAACAAAAAAAACCTGTTCCAATTCTTTATTTTTCTTTTCAGACTCTGTAGCAGTTAGAGTAGGATATGCTTCAATTAGTTGTTCTGAATCAACACCCAATTTTTCCATTTTTGCTGAAATTTAAAGCAGTTAAAAAAATTTTCTATCAAAATTTCAACAAAAATGTTGCTTGAAAATCTCTTAAACTTGATTTTATTAAATAAAATACGACTAGGCATTGAACCCGTAACTTGGAATATAAACAAACCAAAAAAAATTTTTTATAAAATAAACAAAAAATGGCATCGAACCAATGACTTAACTTAAAAAATAAATCAATCAACTTAAGCCAAAATTTAACTCAAATAAACACACTAATCAAAACATATCAACCTTATCGAGAGGATTTTGAATAAATTTTTTTCTTCAAGTTTTAATTTTCTCTGAAATTTACCCGACAAAAAAATTATTCAAAAATTTCTAAAAATTAAATTTAAAATAAAAACCTTGATATTGACAATCAAGTTCTCTCAATTCTGCACATTTCTTTTTCATTTCAGCTGGAAGGAAGCCCAATACTAAAAATTAAAACATTAAAAATAAAAAAAAAATAAAAAATACATTCAACCAAATCTTCCAAATAATGCATTAATATGCTGAAAACTTGATAAAAATGCTTCCAAAAAAATTAAAAATTAATCTTAAATAAATTTTAAAAAATAAAAAAAATTAAAGGACAAATTAACCAAAAAAAAAATAAAAAAATTTTTTTACTCAAAAAAAATTTATTTTTTATTTTTTTGGTTAATTTGTCCTTTTTTTTTTTTTTACAATTTTTTCAAATATTTTCCTCTTATAAGGTAAAAATTGTTTAGCATCCCGAACTGTATGTAAAAATTTTGAATTTATTTTTGTACCATCGTGTAGAGCAGGGTAGAAAACATAATATAGTAGGTTTCTTTTTTGGCCCTGACCCCCATTTCGAAAAGTTATAGGGGTCCAAAGTTTTCGACTTTTGGAGCAGTTGAGCGGTTCCCTTGTTAGACGATTTTACACGTCTATCTAAATAGTTTATTGTGAAAAACCTTTATTGTTAATCCATATTTTCAGATCTCAGGTTTTTTTGTTTTTACACATACTCCTTTCCTCTACATTCCTTTTTCAATTTTTCATAACGATTTTTAAAAATAAAAATTTTTCTTATTATTAATAGAGCCTGGATGGGGAGGGGTTGGTCTATATTCGATATAAAAATATCGAATATCGGTCCGGACTCATCTTATTAAGTAGTTATTTCCTATTTTACGGGGGTAGAGGACGATTCAGTATCGCCAATTCAGTATCGCCGATTCAGTATTGGCCGATTCAGTATTTGGGCTTTTTGGCCATAACTTTTTGCTCGATCAATATTTTAGAAATTTTTAAATATTATTTGATAGGCCTCGGGGTGCTGCATCTTTTTCATAATTGGACTGACCTGATCTGATCACTCTACAAAAAGTTATCACTGATAAACGTCAAATTTTGAGGATTTTTGAAGAGTCAAAAAATATAACGCATAAAGTGATTTTAATTAAATTTTTGTGTTTGATAATTTTTTGCGGATTTTTCATATAAAATGCGGATTTTTTCGATCGAAATTGCGGATTTTTAAAAATTCGAGATCGAAGCCCTGATGTATAGCCTAAAATTGCGGCCATAAAAAATATAGTAAACGATGACCTTTGAAAATAAATGGGTTATTGGAAATTTAAATTCCCGTCCTGAACCATGGAATATTCAAAAAGTTTACAAAAAAATTTTTTGTTTTTGAATAAAAATTTTTTAGTTTTAAGAGTAATCTCCGCAAAAATATGTCCGCAATTTGCGTCCAATATTTTTTAGGAAAAATTTTGGAAAAAAACTAAAATATTAAAAAAAACCCCAATTTTATGGCCTTATAAAATCATTAAAATCCCCAAAAATTTTCAAAAATTACAACCTTTTTCAATTAACTCAACTTCTCCAGGATTTTCAATTTCCAATTCTGTTTTAAAATCAGTCAAGTCTTTAACAACTTTTTCGTTATATTTTTCAAGCACAGACTGTAAATATTCTGTTATATGTACTTTTGAATCTGCAATTAGTTGAGCCTCGTTATAACGCTGAAAATTGGAGAAAATTCAAAAAAATTAATATTTGCGGACGCAAAAAATTTTTGCGGACAAATTGAAAATTTTTGCGGACAAATTGAAAATTTTTGCGGATAAAATTAAATTTTAAGAAAAATTTTTTTCTAAAGATATTTAAGGAATATCCTTTTAAAAATAAGAATAAAATAGCAGAAATCCCCCCAAAAATAAAATTATCAAGTCGGAAAACTTTTTTTTTGCAAAAATCCGCAAACCCCAAAAATTGTCCGCAAATTTAATTTAAAAAAATTAATTTTAAACAAAAATTTAAAAACAAAAAAAACCTGTTCCAATTCTTTATTTTTCTTTTCAGACTCTGTAGCAGTTAGAGTAGGATATGCTTCAATTAGTTGTTCTGAATCAACACCCAATTTTTCCATTTTTGCTGAAATTTAAAGCAGTTAAAAAAATTTTCTATCAAAATTTCAACAAAAATGTTGCTTGAAAATCTCTTAAACTTGATTTTATTAAATAAAATACGACTAGGCATTGAACCCGTAACTTGGAATATAAACAAACCAAAAAAAATTTTTTA